GCAACACAGGCTTGAATCAAGTTTTAAATTAGCGAGATTGCTTTCTTCGATAAGTACAGTGCTTAATTCTGTTTGGTGTAGCCTACTTCATCAGACGTTGAAACCAATTCATCACTGGTTTTTTATGTTTAACGGGAAAATGTTTCGAGGTCAATAACACCTTTTTGGAGTGTGTAAATTTGGCTCACCTGCGTGCATCAAAACACAGGATTTTTGTTCCGGCACTTTAAATCTTGAAGACGTCGAGGATTTTGCACGCATCGTACCCGTTTAAACATGGATGATGCTGGAGATCATAAGTAAATACCTTGGTTGAGAATACGTTAGGCATATTTTGACCGTCATATTGAGAGGCCTAAAGCGGTTTTTTCGAAACCAGCATTGTTAAATTCAGCCTTCTTGTGTATTTACGTTCAGGTGGAAAATAACAGAAGATTTACCTAGTCACTAGGGGATTCACTGATTTAGTTTTTTGTCTGTATCAAATAGTAGTTGGTTTTGGTGCGGCCCCAGGTGCGGTTGGAAAACCACACCGGGGCTCGACCGAAAGAAAGAGTAAAAAATGCGGGTAGCGCGAAGCCCGAGTTATTGATTGATGCAGGAGCGCGGTGTGTGCGTGTTTGTGCATCGATCTGTGAGCGCACGCAGCTGCGTGAAGTGCATTCACGAAAGGAAAATCGATTGATTTGTGTTCGCTCACGCTTGCACGCTGCGTTCGCTCTCGACTGCTAGCTGTTCTGGCTTGGTGCTCGCCACAAATGCCTCGTAATGTGATCTCGAGCCCCACCGAGGCCACCGCGTTGCTCGACTTGAACACGCTGCACAGATTAGTCAGGAGGTGGTGGGGTCAGAACCGTCTACTAGATAGCTCGACCAAGCTGTGTTGCCATCGTGTGCGTATTCCAAGTTGTACATGAGTAGTGTGGTTTTTGACCAATTCAGTTTGAGCAATCAGTTTGAAATACAATTAACTGTATGGTCAGATTTATAGGTGAATGGGCGGAATGTCTCACTGCGACTACAGATATTAATGAGAGTGATGTAGTGCGCGAACTGGAGACACGTACAGCTCGGCACAAGGCTATGTGGTTTGTCAACTTGCTAATAAGGGGCCTTTGTTTGGTTTAAAGTTTATTAACTAAATTTGTCGCCAACGTCCGGCTGATATCGTAGAGAAATCAAGAATTAATTGTCGAATTGAAAACTACTTAAGTTCCTTGCATTGGTAGGGATTTACCATCGGTGGTTGGTATGCGCTGAAGGCGGTTATCGAAGGCATGAGTCACGGCAACTTCACTGGACCCGTGATCCTCGTTTCTGGAAACGGAGGCGAAGTGGGCATTGCGCTTGTGGACGGCGGCCATGCAATCGTTGGCTGGGTGGGCGGTCTAGCGTGCCAAGGATCGACAGGTGACTGGACAAGGATGGAGCGGCAAAACCAGTGGTTCCATGTGGCCGTGTCCTGGTACCCGAATGACGAGATCGGCTTGTTCTTGAACAGCGTTCGGATCTCTAGTTGTGGAGAGTTGGAAAAGTATGAAACTGTGAACTCGACCATAGCTGAAGCACGAAACATTTTCACAGAGACCGCAACCAACTCCGCCTATCTCATCGCCAAGTCTCCTCCACTCGTGGAAGTCGGTTATCGACTCGCCGTGGCAATTGTCAATGTCTTCGACAACTTTATAAACCCCTGTCAGACGCCGGAAAGTTTCATGGGTTTGACACACGCGCAGATGAACCACTTCGCGGAGTCGTCCTTCTATTGGCCGATGTCTGGTCTACTCACAAACCTAGCCCCCGAGAGACTAAAGACTTCGTCTGTTGTAAAAGCCAGAGACAGGCAACATGTCGAAGGAGCCGCACTTTGCACTGATGGCACGTCCAAATCCTACATGATTCTCTCTGGGGACGGTGAAGCAATGTCCAACCTTCTCAACTCCTGCCTCTACAGCAGTACGAAGTGCGAGAAACTGATGTTCATGATTGATTTCCGATTCAATGCTCAGCTACCCAGGGAGGATAAAGAGTTTGCTCTGGTCAGGGCGCAGGCATCAGACGATTCCGTCGGCATCCTGATAACTGTCCATCCGCTCAATGAACTTATAACGGTTGTCTTTCGCACGCCCTACACAAAGTGCATCAACTCGGGTAATCTAAGTGCCCTAGAGCAGAATAATGAAGCCTGGAGCTACCTACAGGTCTACGTTACTTCTGGCGAAGCACCAATGCTCTCGGTCAACGAGAAGATCCTTGCTCCTAGAAGTCAGGGTACCTGTCACATCGAGAACTCCTCAGCCCCCCTATCGCGTCCAAATATTACAATCGGACGCGAAGTGGCCATATGCGTTTCTGATGTGAGCATAGTGGAGAACCTCAACACGGTAAATCCGATGGCGGAGGTGTGCTATTTGGAGACTGACACGTTGTTACAGCTACGTGGCGAACAAGCCAATCATCGTGGTGTCCCCGATTCCGCCTTCGACCTCAGCTCCTTTACAAATCGAGTGTCTAGCAAACAAATCGCGACCTGCTTTGGCAACTCAATGACCAAGTGCCCTGAGTTCACATTATCCTTCTGGTTAAAGCTTAATGGAGGTGGCACCGTTGCTCCCTCAAATGTAGGTTTCTGTCTCAAACGTTTTCTCGTCTTTGTACTAGTTCTTCAACTTAAGTAACACATTTCTTGTTCTAGACGGACCATATGGTGGTCTCTTCAGGTCCTGGAACCTACCAAGGCTTCTCCGTGTCTGTGCAGATTGTGGCCAGATCCGCCACGTTCAACCTCATTGTTGTTCTAATTATGCCCGATTCTATTTATCGGGTGTTTGTCGCAGAATTCGGCGTAATCGGAACTTGGTACAATATTGGATTAGTGGTGGGTGGAACAGGCACGCCGGCGGGAACATCGGTCGAGGTATACAGAAACGGTCACGCTTATGTAATGACGAGCTTGCCGGTCATGCAGGATCCCTTCAAGCAGTTCCCTGTCAACCCCAGTCCTGGTCTCTACTTCGGCTCCGCCATCACTAAAATGACCAACATGTCGTCTGTAGCCATCGCTCCGGGCGTCGTCAGCATGTTTGGCAAGTTTGACAGACACCTTTTTTTCTCCAGGAGTTGGAGGTTTGTAGATTCAATGCCAACACCCTCGCAACAGGTCACACCACCACGCAGGGACTGTCGAATTAAGTGGAATAAGGCGAATTACGCCGGAGGCAGACAGGTCATTCATCTCAACAAAGTGCATAGAACTGAAAGATAAAAGGTAACATAGTTTCAGGGCACTGGCGTCCAAGAACCTTGATTACAAGGGGGTAAGACAGTGGTAACAGAAAAGCCCTGCTGAAATCCTTGTCCCGTTAGAGATTTCAATCTGGAGTTGATTTGACCTCTGTACTGTCGACTCAAATCCACAACATTCCAGCCTTCCATTTTGAAGGACTTGAACACCGGAATGAGAATAAATTTTGCACTGTTTGAGAGAGAGTTAATTACGTGGCCTTTCGTTGCCCTGTAGCCTTCTGGATGAAGCGGGTCGCTTCGTGCGCTAGCCCTCAGTCCTCGCACAAAATCCTTCTCGGCAAGTGTGTCCTCAACGAGACCCTCCCCACAACGGTGGCTTGCCAGGAGGCTCACTACTGTCGACTGTCGAGGGACGGGGTCTGTCTCGACGCTACCGTGGTAAGATTCACGCGATTACGCATAGCAGTGGTTAGAAGTCGTCCATAACGGTGTCTAAGTGCACCTCAGCCATCATTAGTTCACTTACTGTAACGTAAATGTTGGGTCCAGATGTGGTTGGTGCAGCACGACGAATGCGGGGGAGAAATGCGACTCAACTATTTATTCGATGTCTCAACCACGTTGTGCTGTTGTGTGCGTGTGAATGGGTTCAAAGTCGTGCATGACTAATGTGGTTGCTGGCCAATACAATTTGATTGGCCGATTTAAAGAGCCAATGACCGAAGGGCCAAATGAGTAGGACAAGTAGCGAGGGAGCTACATGCACTGGGGTGAAATACCTTACAGTTATTCATTTCTGTGAAAAGAAAGGTGGTGGGTCGTAGTTTGGGGGGACAGAGTTGATGGACGTAGGGAATCAGCACGATTCCCTGCATGGTCAACTCAACGCCAGGTCGGATTCCCGAAAAAGGCAATTTCAGGTCAAAGGTCAGCACTTGAGTTAGTGATCGATTGTCCACGTGAAAAATCAGGCTTTCCGGGGATCCACTACCTACTGCGTATTTTCACGTTCTGAGAGCAAACGAGAGGCGGTGTTTAGCTGAAGTTAATGGACAATATTGGATTGCGTTTCGGTCATCAACTTTGGTTCGAAACTCATTGAAATGATCAGCAACACACGGGTCTTTCGAACTCAGTTTTCTACTTAAAAAACGACAAAATATATCGTAGGTGAATCGCCAAAAATTCCATTTTTTCTACTTTCGTTTCCATATTTTGCAAATAGCTCTCATTTTTGGTAGTTTCTTTCATTTGCCGCGGGTTTTCTTGGAAATTACGATGATAAAATGAAGCGAAAAGCAGTGGATTTAGAACTATCTGATAGCCCTAACACCAAGTATAATGCGATTATCATCACTATTAGGAATTAGGATTATCTACGTAAAAATGCAACTAACATTTGCGTGGCAATAGGCGAGAACATCACTTGACGGCATTTAAACCAAGGTCAAAATTGCGGTTTGTTGAGGGCAGCGGCATGTTGTCTTGAACCACGGCGGCGTCATTGCCTCGAAGTTAGGCCGGATACGTTACCCTGAGTGCCTGCTAAGATGAGGGAGGCCGGAGAGGACGCGGCACAACCGTTTAACTCAGAGCTCAACCTACTTGTCTGACTGTCACATGGGTAGGGCGGGTGGTGGTGGTACATGCAGAGGGGTGATTGAGCAGGCGGTCCCAGTGACTGACGGGCACGCCGTGGAAAGGGGGGCGTGTGTGTGAGGCTGCGACAACCGGGTTATTGAACGTGAATCAACACGATTCACTACAGGTTATTGTTGCATGTTTAGTGACTTGAACCGTAAAACAACCGAACTTGTATGTGCGCGATTGACAGCAACTTCAGCTTCCTTTGTCTGCTTTAAGCATTCACAATTTTAACCCAAAAAGGCCACTTTTAGCCTTCAGCGATTGTTCGCTCTCTTGGATTCTGATTTACACCCTTGTTAGTAGTTTAGTCGTTGACATCCGAACATTAAAAATACTAGCACAAAATCACACCTTCTGTGATCGCTAGAGATTGCACTCCTTTGCTTTGGCTGGCATTACTGCATGTAGGGGCCAGACGTAGGCCTTAAACTCCGCCTGAACCACCAAATTGTATTTGCCGGATACAAGGTAGGTACAATCAAACGCTTTTAACGTCGCATTGCACACAAAATCGTGTTCTCCTTTGAATTGTGGAAGTGCTCTCAAGGATTCATATTCCTGGGGACCCTCCACTAACAAATTCGAATGGAGTAGACAATGAACAAGCCACGAAATGATAAAATGCGTGTTTGGAAGGACAGGGGAGGTACAGGGGTGTCCGTATAAGCGATGGGAGTGATGGGAAGTGGGTGTAGGGGTCTAAATTAGCACTACTACAAAACCCTATAGATAACAGCCGGTCACAACCCAAGAAAAGAGGATACAAAGAGTCGAAAGAGAACACGACCGTTTATTCGCGTCACGCCAGTCAAGTCGCGTAAAATCGAGTAACAAACTTCTGTGTGTGTGTCAATACGTGTGCGTTACAAGCGACTGCTAACAAAAAATCGATAACGAGGAGGGTGAGTCATTTACACAGTCGGGCAAGCCTACACGCAGCACTCACGCGCGCGGTGGCTGTCTGTCCACTACAGTGCATTCACAAAAAAAATCGATTGATTTGTGTTCGCTCACGAATGCCAACTGTGCTGGCTTGCTGTTCGCCACAAGAGGGAGAGTGTGTCAGCTGGGCCTGAGTCATCATGATTCACAGCACGACTTTTTGATCCAATTATGATTTGACCCTCTAGACGAGATTTCGGACCACTTGCATTAAAGGATGCTACACATCCGCCATCATTATTGATAAATGTTGTTAGAATCAATAGCCATTTTTCACCGTGCTTAGTGTTGATGGCTGCTTTGCACCTGTTTGGCGTCCTTTCTAGGCGAACATCTACACAATGGCCAAAGGTGTCCAGCTAATTTCCTCACCGGACGCACTCCTTTCACTTCTACAAATCGTCGTTAACTTCCTTCAAAACACCTCAACGCACGACGATGCGGAGACTCTGAGGAAACTTTTGTGGTCCAGCACAACCCTCCTAAGTCACTTGACAATAGTCAAAGATGAGCCAGAATTCTCGAAAGCGTACCTGCGAATGGAAGCATTCGCGATTGTAGGGTTCATCTTGGAGTTTATCGAGAGCATTTTTGACATACGGTTTGTTGAGGCTTGGTCGTTCGTGAATGAAGTCGATCCTCTAGAGCCGAACGGCGTTGGTACGATGCTGACGGTTTTATTGCCTGAACTCGTGACACCGAATCAGCCGATAATCGAGGTACGTCGTGGTGGAAGCTTCATCGGGAGCTACCTTCTCCCTGCCAACTCCACCCTCTGGAACCACACGTACCTATTCAATTCACAGCTCAAAATCATTATTCCTTCCATGACTGAGTCATCACCTCCTGACTCTGAGGTGTGTGTTTTCACAATTGCCACTCTTAGAGCAAGGTATTTCGATGTCGAGATGGAAGCAATGTCATTGCCGAAGGTAGTCAAGTGGACTGGACCCTCGACAGACGTATGGGCTCTAATCAATTCACCCCTGGTAGTAACATCTCTAGAGGAGAATGCAAGGGGTGTACTGCCATACGAGACCAAATACGAGTTCACTGTCGAGCTACTTCAACCAAACGAGTACGCAGACTCAGCGTTCGCGAGAAGAACTGACTCAATGCATTGGAAGGCGATGGCCGTTGAGGCGAAGGGCCGCGGCGAGCTGGAGTACAGGGTGAAGTGTGTATTGTGGGAAGACGCCAGGCCACCAATAGCGGCTTCTGCGGGACAGTGGGCAACCGAGGAGTGCGAGGTAGTGCAGGCCAATCTGACGCATGTTGTTTGCAGCTGTGAGACGACTGGCACGTTTGCTGTTGCGATGGACTACATCGACGTCGTCGAGACGGCAAGGTCTTTCTGGAAGATGGCCGGTGCCAACAGTTGGAAACTGTATGACACGCTCAAATTGGCCCTCAATTTCTCCGGAAACTCACTGTCTTTAATATCACTCCTCGGCCTGACGGCGTGCCTCTGGTTCAAGGAAACCATCGTGGACCTTCGTGATCAAAGGACCATCAAATTTCACCTCATCATGATGCTGGCAGGCTACCAGATCTGCTTCCTGCTCTACCCGTTGGTGGAAAAAAATGAATTTGGCTGCCGGGCTACGGGGATGCTAATGCACTTTTTCGTGACCACCTTTCTTGCCTGGAACACCTTGAACAACTTCTACGTCTTCGGGGCTTTGATTAACGGAATCCTGAGGGCACGTCTTAAGCTCTTCGTCTGCTTTGTGTGGTTGGCCAACGGCGTGGTGGTGTTTGCGATGGCTTGGGCAACGGAAATGCGCGATTACGGAAAGAGAATCATGTGTTTACCCGATGGCGCCACCGGTCACGTGATGCTTACTGGCGTCACCTTCTACCTCCTGATCACGCTTATTGCCTGTTTCGTTCTTCTCTGCAACACCGACACTCCCGCCTACCTCAAACCAGCGGTCATAGAGGCACTACAGTAAGTTGCGTTTGCGTAAAGATATCACGAAAATGCGGCTTGTGCATGAGTCATGTGTTTTACTGACTGGTACGGTTGTGTGGACTAGAAAAAACACAGACGTCTGAATGATCACAGGGATGGAGCGGGTGGTGGTGACGGTGGTTCCAATGACTGTCGGGCGCGCCGTGAAAAGCGTGACGCGTGTGTGAGTCTGCGACAACCGGGTTATCGAGCGTGAATCAGCACAATTCACCACTTGTCAATTGGTGTGGAAAGATTTGGCTTACAAGACGACGAGGTCTGCTGTTGCGCGTTTGACTTTCAAACAGTTTACTAACAATGCAGTTCTTGTCCACGATTGAAAGTTCACGTATAGCTGCGAAAATGCCTAGGGAACTTGAACATTCAGTAATTTTGAAAATAATTACTCAAGTACCTAAGGGGGCTGTTTAACACATTTTGAGCAAAGTATTGGGAGGTTAATAAGTGGATTCTCGACCATCCGGAATTTGACAAATTCTCAAATTTTTGCAAATACTTGCCGAAACTTTGACAATGATGTTATTAGGACCGGAATCGAAAGTAAGCAAATAGCTAATCGAAACTGATCTAAATCTAGTTACCTAATCAATAATGGTCAAAATTGGAATTTATGTGCTCACAGGGTGCAAATATGTAGACGAATGTTGTTGATACAAGGTCACCTCAAAACATTTAAGTGATGTCTACAGGTACTGAAATCTGATTTAAGCAGATTTCATGTATTTGTAACTATTTGTAGTCTCAAGGACTAAGCTTGTGTCGTGTTAATGTTAAAACAGAAAAAGCAGTGTACTGCCTGATGTATCGAGGGAAGCCTAGCAAACGCATTGCCTCACATTGTGTTCCTTGCTACTAGGGGTGAACTATATGCAACGGTGAACATTACGCATTACTGCGTCCTGGTGTACAGTTTGGGCTTCGCCTTCACCCACCTCAACCCGCCATACGTTGGTTTTATCTTCTGGACAGCGAATTCCTTGCTTGTGAGTGCCTTTATTTCGGCTGCATGTAAATGCTATTATTGTGTGGCGTGATACTGCATCGAAACGCACTCAAATTGCACAACTCCTAACCCTTGTATGACGTGGCCAATTGCCATCTCACTGATGTGGGCCTTAATTCATTGGTGGAGAGAAAAAGGAGAATTTATGTCAGTGTACCTATTGTTTCCGTTTGTTTCAAATGGTGGAATAGACTTTGGCGCTATCTAGGTCGTAAGTTCGAACCCATCGCGTGTGAAATACGGTCTCCAAATTATCGACTGTGAATTGTTGTGCGTTGGTCGCGATGTCTTGTAATGGCGATACTTACATTCAGCACGAACCTAAGCAGAATTAATGGTTTTTGAAAACCAAATGTGGGTCCAATTTATTTGTTCGCAAGATTTAGTTCTCTTTACTTGGATGAGGTTTGTGGTTAAATTAAAAATTACGTCAATGGCTTGATATGTAAGCATTTAAAATCCTTTCTTTTCAAACACGATATGTATCCGCCCGCTCCGAATGTGACGAAGTTGAAATTGAAGGTATGAAATTGTTAAGCCGCCGGTAGATCAGTTGTCACAGCAATTCGTCTTCGTGTCCTCGAACAACGTAGACTATTTAAACTATTGTTGAAGCACGAGACACCACGAATTACCCGAAGAAGAACAAAAGACAAGAGGAGAGACAACTGTTTGTTGGATGTCACAACCAATTTTGTGTTTAGTCACAGGTGTCAGAATCTGATTGTCGAGGGTCCAAGTTCGCCCGAACATCTTAACTCACCTCTTCAAACAGTTAAAAAGAGATTCTATTGTTAGTTACTTTCCAGGAGTGTTACTTGAATTTAATAAGTATCCATCTGACGAGCATTGACTTCACTCGGATAAGCTCGCCTTTAAGTTAGCCATAATTCTCAGCTGGCCTTGTTCCGCAAAAATGACACAGAACGCACTTCTCTCAAAGCCTGTCGCATTGCAATTACATGTTTCGGGGATTTCAAACTTGTGACATGATGTTTGTTTAAAAATGAGAAGACTATTTTAAATTATCCAATAGCTATTCACATTTGGGTCATGACATGTTGCCGGCTTGGTCTTTGGTTTCGCTCCACACCGAACAAAATCCGACTGAAACGCAAATCCACTGACACTCTCAATACTTCTTATTCTGTAAGAGTTTTCTAAGAAAAGCTCACTTCAACCCTGAAGACTTTCGCGTCGCCAACTGCAAAAACACTCACTTTGGCCATAGATTGATGGGCAAGGAGGGGCGTGGTGTTCTAAAAGATTTCCTGTGGAAGGCGTTAAAGTCACATCATTCTTAATCTTAGTATCTCACAGTGCTATTAAATTATGTGTTCTACCAGTTAAGAGGGTCGTGGTTGCATAGTATCACTTAAAGCCAGCTGAATCGCTTTCAGTCGTCCACGCTAGTAGTGTCTAGGTCACACGTCTAGCTAAAGCCTTGAAGGAAGGTAAGTACTAATTAGCAATGGGAATTTTTCCGTTTATCATTACCTTCTACTGTCTTTTCTAGGGTTGCTTAGTGACATTGTGCTTCGGGCCGTTGGGTAAACGCATTGCGGTGAAAAAACGAAGATCAAGCGACATCTTTGAGTCTGGAAAAGATCTGGCGACTTCGGTGGAAGCTCAGAAGGACGCGGAAGGTCGACCGCCTTCTTCGGCCTCCTTCGACAACTTCGGTCTGGCTGAAGACGAGGAAGTCGTCAGCGTGGAATTCGCGGATAAATCCGACTGATGTCCACACTTTACTCCTCTCGTTTGCCAACTCACGACAGATTTCCTCGATACTGCCAACCCATTACTCAGAACTGTTTTTAGTATCTTTAAATATACCAACAAAAGTAGTCTTGTCTTCTTATTTTCCGTTTCCTAAGTGACAATAGCGTATTTGATTGGGCATAACTGTTATTACATCCCCGTAAAATATTTACAATTTCTGTCCAAGCCGTTGTTTAAATCAAGGCTTAACTCCGATCACGATGTGACATGTGCTTAGGCAACATTCATTCCACGTGGGATTTGATTGTGTAGAGTTGCAGTCTGACTAGGGAATGTGGTATATCCAAGTGAGATATTTGCAATTTCTGTCCAAGTTTTTGTTTAAATCAACACCGAATTCACTTCACGACGTGCTTCGGCGACATTGATTCCACTGGAGATTTAACTGATAGACTACACTATAAAGCTCTGCGGAATGTAACCTGTCGACTAAAACTATACTCAAGTTATTCAACATTTGACAAAAAAAGTTGTGTGTGACGTCACAAACTAGTGAAGGCAATATTTTCGCCAACAAAGACTGTGCCTGAATACACCTTTGCAGGTCTAACCAGGGAGGTACGTACGTTGTCTTCCAGCTAAGTTTTTTCCTGAATCGAAAAGTTCGTTACACCACCGTAACACACCAACGACTACGGTCTCACCTAGGTTAACAATTGATCCAATCACTTCGACGCCCTCGGAATGCATTTAAAATTTCTTTTAACGAACAAGCCAAGTTGACCAATCAAATTCCGATCCACAGGCTTTTTTAACCTCGTAAGCCAAGCTTTAACGATGCGTGTGAAACAGTAGAGGGTGAGAAAGTGCGATTACAATCGTCGTCCTCACACGAGCTGTTCTCAACGGTTTCTCTAATTCTTACGACATCTCAAAAAGGTGATTTACTCGCCGTCTTTTTGGGTTTCAATGTGGTTCTACCCGCTGCACCTCAGTTTGGAAAAATTGCATTTCTAACAACAAGTCTTACGAACTCTCCAGATCGTTGATACTTTAATTTCCTCTAGCGAAATAGATTGATTTCCAGTTAACAATCATCCGTATATTCATGGATGAAATCAATTTTTTTCATAGTAATTGGCTCTTTAAGCATTGAGCAATCAACAGATTCCTGGTTCCTCACTTATATTCCAAAGTTAAGTGTCTTGAATTTCGAATTAAGCTCCACGAAAACCAAAATTTTAGCGCAATTCATGAACTGAAAACTTGGTAAGAAACAACGCGATGCAGATCCGACTGAAGTTATCGATTTCTTTCAGTAGACAAATACGAACACGTTCTTCTTGAGTTCATTAGATATGACATTTAACAGTCCCGATCAGTTTTGTCGTTGACACGTATGCTATTGGTCAACTGACTGTTCAAGGTCAGATTCACTTCTAACATTTTGACCAATGGAATTGCAGCCGCGATGTAGGCAAGATTTCAGCCATCGCTAATGCACCAATGTTTGTAATGCCGATTCAAAATAATGGCTGTTAACATCATGCTCTAAGACTAAATTAATGATGACTATATGTGAATGAATTTGAAGTTTTTGGTAATTAGACCCAGTAAATTAAACTCAAGGTTAATCGTGCGTGTTTGCGTTTCTTAAAAAACTCAATTCACACATAGACTGGGGAAAAGCCATATCATGCATCCGTACTGTTGTCTGTTTTTAACAGTTCCGGAAACGATCACAATGGCGGAACCTACACAGAGCGGTGTCAGCACAGTTGCCATGGTGACAGCAAGGCAAACAACACACGAACGAATCGCGAGCCTCAAGCTCTTGGCATGTGGCTAATTGTCTGCGAAGTCGAGTGTTTTTAAGAATTGCATTCTGCCGTCAACATTGGCGCCTCGGGTGAGGGTCGGTGACCCTACCTGTTAGTGGGTTATGCCGCTGTAAAGTTATGTTGCAAGTTACAGGGAATCGGTGAGTTTTAAGAGGGTGGAGGAGGTAACAGATTTGATTGCACGCAGCTAGCTAATTTACGCGTCTACCTACCTGTTCGTGTGTCAGGTGTTTTGCCAGAGCAGTCTAAAGTACACACGCGCATTTCGGATGCACTTGAGATTGCACGATAATGCACTTCAACTCGACAGACTGTCGTCACTGTCGTGTGTGTTTCATGCAGTCATTTACTACTCAAATGAGTTGCCTTGGCCAAAATGCCCTCAGCTTATTGGCCACATATTTGGGGGCTTGTTTGCGAAGATAGGAGGATGATTCGTCGATGGCTTAGTGAGAGCAAATTTTACTCGGCAAAATTTTAAATACTGATTAACGTTTGTGTGATTAAAGCCATTTACATAAGGTTCGGTGCGTCTAACGTAATGCTATTCACTGCCCCGATAGGCACTTGAGCTGTTGTTGACTTCTAAGGGGCCTTGTTAGTCCAATCAACAAAATGTAACATGCGGTATGAAAATTTTGGAATGACTGGAATGATTTTCAAGAGTATTTCTAACTCGGATGAGGTTGTGCCAAGGGAAGTCAAAGTTGTCCACATGCAAAAATAAGCCAAGTGTGTTACCAAGACGGTGTATATGATTTCACGGTGTTATAAACCAGCCTTATGTACCTGCTGTTTTATACCTGACCACTAAAATCACTTTTATGCAGATTCCTCCTAATGGTACGAATCTCAATCAAAAATGTCGCAGAAAAATTTTGTTCGTCAAATTAATTGCGTCCTTTGTAGGTAAAAGACTGCTCTTTCTACATCCTTATTCCTTCAAACCCTTAATAACTCCGTAGATCATTAAAGTGTTAATTGCATGAACTCCAAATCTGCTACAGCACAGTACAGGCTGGGTCGGGAGTCTGGCTTTTCCGGTAAAATGTGTTTCGAGCGTGTTGGAGGTGATTACCGGCCTACATTCTCACAAAATTCTTCACCGATTATGGCTTGACTAAACGTTGGTGTGGTGTAGAATAGAAAATCCAGAGTTCTAGCATTTAAGACAACCTGATTTCGGGTTTGGTCGTGTTTTGGAACACGATAACTTGGGAAATGCGTAACGGCAATGAAGTTGTGTCTATATGCAGCGGACTAATTTCTACGCCCTCGAGGGTGTTTGGAGGCTGTGGCTTTTTGAAGCCTACAGTCTGTCGTCCTTCAAGCTAGTCTGCATCAAATTCGTTCACTGAGCTAGACGAAAGTAGCAAAAGTTTTAGTTTAAGTAGTCCAGTAGGTTTCACGGCATCGTCCTTCAGGTTGAACAGGTTCAGCAGAAATTTTTCTAAGTGAAGCCAGAAAAAAGCACGCTAATTTCGGTGCTTGGACAAAGTGAATAGTGTAGAAAAACTCGGTTGGGTGCGCATTCGCAGTCACGGGCCTTTACTTTTCAAACCGTTAATAATTTCCTAGTTTTCCTTATTTTTTCGCGTTCACACACACAAATTTTCATACTAGTTGAGGACCCCAGCATGTGGTCTTGAACCACGCCGGGGCCACGGAATTAACCCTGGCCCGATTAAGATTCCCTGATACTCACGATGAAGGAAAAGACCCGAGAGGACGTGGACACAACCGTTTACTTCAGAGATCCACCACGTCGGTGTCGTGTGTGGGGTTTGCCCGTGCGTAATTATACCTTGGATGCGTGAGCCATCATCGAAACCTAGGTGGGAGGATAATCCAGTACACATTTTCATGCGAATGAGGGGGGAACCGAGGATCCGCGAGGCTGGCGACATGCTGCGAAAAGTGGGACTAGCGAGTGTGAATCACGACATGCTTATTTAGGCCTTCCTCACCACGTTGACCGCATTCACTTTTGTCTGTGTTATTTGCCAAGTCGCTTTCAAGGCCGTCCGCGTTGTCCACAAGTGATCTCGCGTCTATACGCGGCCTGTGGCCGAGACTGCACGAGGCCCTGTGGTTGTCCTACCTTTGGGAAAACGTTGACTCTTGACCTCAGCGGCGGTGGTGTGGGGTGGTGGCGGCCACCCCTAGACAAGGGGCTCACGTTCGTTCACCGGCAGTCGTAGAAAAACAGATGCCGGGCCTGGATTTCTCGAAATTTGAAAGCAGCCACTTCGACACAAGCATATACCCAGTACAGGATTCAAAGTGTCCAACGCTAAAACTTCGCGAATTCCTCCATTCATCCAGCCTGCATTTCAAAAGAAGCAGCAACAATTGCCGATCTGCGCTGGTAACTCGCTTAAATGATGTCGAGATTTTGCACAGATAGTCGTAATTGGTGTGATCGTGTGCAGAGAGGCAGCTAAGTAATTGTAGTATGATTGTGAAGCGCGCACACACACACACGCTCGCACAATGAATTTGGTCCGAATTAGCTCCTCCAAGGAAGAGGTAAACACAATTTGTCAATACCTCGAGTTAGGTTTACTTATGCTTAAAAAAATCTGCAATGGTCCTGCCGATTCTCTTCGCTAAAACTCGTGGAAGTTAATTCGATCGAGTCAACCTCGGCAATTCGGATCTTGGTCAGGCCAGATTCTCATAGGGATCGTTTTAATTAGATCTGGCAAGGCAAATAGAGATCCCAGATCATCTGCATTGGACGATAGCAGAAAGTTTACTCTAGTGAGCTAATATTGTACCTTCCATAAAGAGGCGATCGTAAGTAGGTGATCGCAGTGGTCAAAGGCCAACATTCAGCTGCGCTGCGTGACCAGAGAACTTTTACTGCCTCAAACAGAGGCTGAGGATTACTCACGAACGCCCTTGATGACCTTGATAGAGGGACTGATAGGGCTAGGCACTGATTGAGAAGTATAAGCTTGGCCATCGAAATTAAGTAAATGGAAAACAGTTCTGCAGAAAGCTAAACTGCCGCCTGAGCCTGTGAAGGTAATTTGATCTGCAACTGGCGATTTGAAAACAGAGGGGCCTTCGGCTCGCCTTGTGGTGAATCGAAAAGCGCAAACATCTGCCATGATTTCTTAAAAAAAGGCAATTAGATGCCAAAGATTCGCCAGGGGAATTTGTGCAAAAGGTAGCCCGCTGTACATAAAGAGATCTAGGTGTTTTCAAACCGCAGCTACACCGTTTTTGAGGAATTCTTTCGTGGAGGCGCGTGCCAAAAAATTCATTCTGAGTAGATAAGGCAAAAACCATTGATCGGTGGGTTGGCTTTTCAGCACAATCTCAAATGCAGTTTCTTGCATTTGGTTTATCAAAATCCTATATTACCGCTTAGAGGCCTCTAACGTCACAAAAACGGTGAAAACATTTTACGCTTCCCAATTAAGCAAACAAAACAAATCACATGTTGGGCTTTGCGAGATTCAGTGAAAAAAGAATATGGCTGATATAAGGGCGTGAGTCGTAGTTTCGTTGAGATGCCAGTGACAGTCACGGTGGTAGACAATTTGTAAGTTAAAGAGTGAGGAAGCTAACATGGTAATGACAAGCACGGTAGTAGGAAATTTATAAGTGAGCAAACTAACGTTACTTGTTAGGTAGTCCCAAATACATGCCGACTCGCAGGTAGTGGAAGTTATTCGGTGATTAAAGGTCGAAACAACTCAAAAAGACATAAGCGGCAGTGGTATTAGTTCATACGACATCACGGTGAGTCTTGAAAACGAAAAATAAGCGGAGGAAGTGAAATGTGGTGGACTTATCGACACAATTATAAAGGTCAATATCAGTGTCTGGGATCTAGAGCACGGAAAACGCGTCAAACGTGTGCACGTGGCCTAGGGGCAGCGGTTTTAGTTCATACGACATCACGGTGAGTCTTGAAAACGAAAAATAAACGGAGGAAGTGAAATATGGCGGACTAACCGACACAATTAAAAAGGTCAATGCCGGTGTCTGGGATCTAGAGCACGGAAAACGCGTCAAACGTGTGCACGTGGCCTAGGGGCAGCGGTTTTAGATGATACGACATCACTGTGATTCTTGAAAACGAAAAAATAACGAAGGAAGTGAAATGTGGTGGACTAACCGACACAATTATAAAGGTCAATGTCAGTGTCTGGGATCTAGAGCACGAAAAACGTGTCAAAAGTGTGTACGTGGCCTAGGGGCAGCGGTTTTAGTTCATACGACATCACAGTGATTCTTGAAAACGAAAAATAAACGAAGGAAGTGGAATTTGGTGGACTAACCGACACAATTATAGAGGTCAAGGTCGGTGTCTCGGATCTAGAGCACGGAAAACGCGTCAAACGTGTGCACGTGGCAAGTCGCAGAAAGAAAATGCTGATTATCTTGTTCCAAACGTAGGATACCGAACAAAATAGGAACTCTATCTGCTTGTATTTTGCATTGTTGCACCACCTTCTTCGGTTATCTGTTATGTGATTTCTTAAGCACGGCGACTTAATGCTAGTAATTACCAACCTTCAATCATTGGATATGTACATAAAAAAGGACTATTAATTGTTTCTGTTAACTAATAGCTTATTTTAATTCCCACGAAGTACACATTATTTTGAGCATTAATAGAACGATGGTACACATTGTGAGCCAACACAGTCTACTATGCAGAAAGCATACTAAGCATAACTTTTGTTTGCTGAGTTTAGGACCTGTCACGTTAACAATATGGTCCTTAATGCGGTGAACGTTTCCGAAGAAAATGACTCAACCATACAGTTACATAGTCGGAAATTAACAATTTAACAAATCCCTCACCACTACTGACACTTTATTAAGGGGGCAATTATGCGGGGGTTGCGGATACAGCCTTAAATAATCGCTCGAAAATTCGACTCAGTGTAAGTACTTGATTTCCCGAGACATCTGGTCATTTGAGTGATGGTGTCTTCGCTTTGGATCAACTTCTAGTGGATGACCGCACATGGAGAGATAGCACAATCGAATGGGGAACTGTTTATTTCGGTATCGAAAATAAAAGCCGTTTGAGGCTGGTGTCAAGAAATGGAACAGTTGTAAGCGTCTAGACAATGATAGCTCTGGCTGGCGTTCCAAACTTATTGATAGAACTGAGCATTCTAACGACAAGCCAGAGTGGCACGTAAAAGGCCACAACACTTTTGCTTGACTGAGACCATGTTTTAGAATTCCGATTGACAAGAGACCTTACGTTTTGGGTCGAAATGCATGTATAGGATAGTTAAAAGAGACAATTCTGCAAATAATTTGCGTGTTTTGAGGTATTGAATGGTAAAAGCTCATCCATCACCCAAGACAGGCAGTTCTAAAGCCAATGCAGCAAAATTGGCGCAAGACGAGTTTAATAAGCTCCTTGTAATTGATATTTGTTAAAAATAAGTTTGCGGTTAGGCCCGGTGAACGAATCTAGTAAAACGCGGTCCAATTCACTTAAATTGTCAACGTTGCATTGAGTTCGAAGCCGACGGCCAGGCCGTGAGCGCACACGCCTGCTTTCAGGTCATTTTGGAAGTCAAATCGAGCACGCGTAGATCCAAATCTCTGTTGAGCTAAGCACGTAAGCGTAACTGCGAAGTTGTGAAAAAAACAGCCTAGTGACTGCACCCGCGTGCTACACCCCCGATCCAATGTCTCCTGAGTAAGTAGCCCGCTGACTCGAATTGGTGGGTAGTACGCCAATGACCTATTGCTGTCAACCTGGCGGAAATACTACTTCGTCACGGTAGACACCATCGAAAGGTGCTTCATGCTTGTCCAATCTCTTAGTGACAGGTAGCTACCTGATAACAATTCCACATACCCTACGATAGCGTGGAGGCTCAATTCCCAACCGACGCCGCTAACCCACGACACAATCCCTCGCAATACAAGACGACAATTCATGCACGGTATTTTTTCTTTGTGCTATCCAAAAGCACTTCCAAACGGCGTGTGATGAAGACTACGAGCAGATTATTACACAAGTCGATGTCTAGAATGAGAATCTAGAGCCCTAACGACTGTTTGGATTCAATTTAGGGATGCACTATAGTAGGTAGCATCCTTGAAGAAAAGTCAGGAAGATAGTTTGGGAGGAGCGAAGACTCGAAACTACAAATGATTAGAGGGCGGCATAGTGACCCTTAATCAATCCGAAAAAGCAGAGTAGTCAAAACCCAATTGAGGGGCGCACCAGCGACCGCAATTCATAGAACGAGTCGTTTACAAAAAAAACCGGCAGAGACTACTACAACGACCAGACCTTAAAAATGTCATACGTGACATCGGCGACGGCTTTAAAGGGTGTCGAAATAAATCACAGGGCCGAGACCAGTACGTCAGCTTGCTTAAGAACCCACGAAACTGACGTTGTGTGACATTGATATTTAGTTAACAACTACGATAGCCAACAAACATTACGCCATCTATCACAATTGAAGACATCTACAAGTACTAATAATAACGATATTACAAAATTGCAAAGAAAAGCACCATGTTTAGCTGACTATTGCGTGTCAAGATTTCACTGACGATCAAGAGTTACTGCCTATCGAATAATAATCTTACATAAAAAGGACAGTCCCTACTACATCACGCACACATACCACAAGAAGCATCCGGGGCAAATTTTAACCCAATGCCACAGCAGTTATACCTAAACACTAAATGAATGGATACGACGTTAGAAAAGGATTTTACGTCCGATTAAAACAAGCCTTTCTGTATGGGTTGAACACATCACCCTTGTTTTCAACCGAAAAGTTCATAAGAGCGTACCTGCAAATTTTGGAGACCTAAAAACATACATAACCCAACATTGGAAGAGCCGAGAGAACTAGAAACATTAATGGGCGAACCTGAGACCAAACGGAGATTGAAATATGTGAAATTGCCCCGAGAATCCTGCTAAAACAGTTTCCGAAACGCTCCCATAGTAAAAGCCTAACGTAATGAGATAGAGGAAGTGGGTTGACAAAAGAAAAGTCATATGATGTATGCTAGACGAGTCTGTATAACTGTACATAAATGGAGTGAATGGTGGAATGGCAACTCAGAAACTAAGATAAATACTGGAAGGGTTGCCTTGGCATTGGCGTGTTTCTGTGCGAACAACGCGACCATTAACCTCTTCTGTGATTGTTTCGACGTTATTTTCACGTACCGTAGTAGTGCGTATTGTTTGTCCATTGACGATTCGAGTTGATGAAGAGACGGACCGAGAGTGACCGCCGCCAAATCCACCATTACTGAACGAAGTCACCGAAGAGAATCCATCCATTCCTCCAAACGGACTGCCAAGGAGTCCACCAAAAAAGTTCCCAAACAAACCGCCACCAAATCCCATACCTGACATTAAATCATTTGAATGATGTGATGGGACTGTTTGGCGACGACTGGGTTCATATGGATTGTGTTGACGACGATTGTGGGCTCGAGTACTTCCATGAGATCGATGAACACGGGAATGACCATGAGGTTCGTGTACAGAGAAACCGGTACCAAATAAATCAAAAACAGATGCACCAAAGACCTCAGCAAAAAGCTCGAATGGGTCGGTAAAATGAAAAGAACTAAAAGCATCATATCCAGAAAAGTTGCTTGGTGATGGACCTCCATTTGAAAGGCCTTCCTTGCCGTGAACGTCATAAATCCTTCGCTTCTGAGGGTCTGAGAGAACCTCATACGCCTCACTCACAAGCTTGAACCGCCTCTCCGCCTCCTCCTTGTTATCCGGATTCTTATCAGGATGCCATTTCAGAGCCAACTTGCGATAGGCCTTCTTTATAGTCTCTCCATCAGCGTTGCGATCTACTTTAAGTACAGAATAATAATCTAACTCTTCCATCCTGCGTTGGTCTGGAGAAAAATCTAGAAACTACGGGAGCCCTAATCAGGCGGATAGCGGTTGTTAAAGTGACCGCTACCATTTAGTCACTAATACAAACACTCTCAAAGTATACATCAATAAATGTCAGCTGAGAATGTCTACAGATTGTTCATGTAACGATTTACGTGAACAGCAACAAGCAAAACTAATTTTTACAGTGTTTAAGATAGTTAAACGTCTTAATATGTTTCAGAGTTTAAATGGGAAAAGAAGCCCGATCATGCCATTGATTCAGTTTGACTTTTAATGTTCTTTTTGCTAGCTATTTTTGTCAGGACTCATATATTTATTAAATTTAAAACACACCATGGCATTAAAGTAAGTGTCAAAAGTTCGATTTGTAAAATAAACAGGATAATAATGTTTGGATTTATGCAGCAAGCATTTGTTTTATAATATGGCTTAGGACACCATCTAAATAAGTGCACAAAGGTTATTTATGCATTGAAATTTTCATTCCTTAATTACTGTGAATTCGATAGACAAATTAATCATTAATAAATGAGAACTCTAAAGTTCTATTCATTTTCCCATGTAGCACCTTTGATTTATCTTTTTGTTTTTTTTTTGTGAATGTAACTCTAAGTGTGCTTAACTCTCAACGCTGGTTGATCGACATTATAGAAGAACTTGGTTTGCATGTTTGGTGAAAAAATTTTTGGAACAACCTTGAGACTAAGTAGATAATTTTTCCCCACAATATCCAAGCAATCATAGAAGGGCATACGCCGCAACGTCGGTTAAATGTGTGAGAAAATGAGAAAATTGAAATCAACTTGATAGTTCTTATTCTTTTATCGACGTTATAAATAGCGCTATCTTTGTGGACTCTCATCTTGAGCAGGCACGATACCATTCATCACCCGCTTCAACCACCAATGATTGATCTTTGGGAGTTCTCTGACAAGGAAGCAAGGTCTTCATGGTCAAACACATTGGAAACAAGGACTTCGTGTTAATTGATCGCATTAAACTAGCTTTTCGTGACACTTAAATGCCACTAAGCAGGCCCCAGGCTCTGCCAACTCCCTCCCCCATCAACTGTACAGACGGTTAAAATTACATAACACGGTGGTCGCGCACATGGACGCATTCCTTACAGTGATTAAAGAGATATGACTTCATTGACAGCCAGAACGCATTTAGTCTCACTTAAAGTGATTTATTCTCCTCTGAGGCTCTGCCCATTTTCCGAACAACCATCCTCGATGGTCACATGACAACCTTTAGGTCAAATCCATTTGCCAAGAAGAAGAGATGTAGTATATTGTGTTTCTTCTCACTTGATTCTCTGGTAGCTTAATTCTCCCTTTTTACAGTGTGCCATCGGACTTGGGAAACTTCAAATCACACATAATTAGTGCTTAGTGATTATTGCAGGATTCTTTATACATGCAATCACGTAAATCATCAAGCCTCGCTGTTAGCACATTCATAACCCACACTGTTTTACGCATCTGAGCTGTTACATGGTGATCTGGTGGAGCTTTTTAATAAATAGTTTCTCTCCCGCGCGCCTGTCTCAATTCTGTCTTGGATACTCTGTGTTGTGTCGTACTGCAACATATCAATTTACCTACATTCCATTTGAAAATTAACTTCGGATAATATGTCAACTTTATTACATTTGTTTTGAGAACTAAAATCAAACAATAACCAAGCTTGTTATGAAACAATCAGGACACAGTACATTTAACATGTTGTTACTGAACAAAAGTAGTAATTAGAACTCGATCTCAGCAACTTCCGTTCGCACACCAGATCACGCTTTGGTTATGGTACTGGCGAGGTAATGAAATTGCCAAATACCTGAAGATCTCAGTTTGTTAGAAGATTTACTCCAAGAGTACGATTACCAATTTCATAAGATCAAGCTATGACGCGCGCCATTCGACCCGCGCACGCCGGTCTGGCCTGTTCTTTGTCCTCCTCTCCCTTCCCGCACTCTCGCCTTCGTCGAGGCACGCCCGTGAGTACGAGGGCAACACCAACCCTCCTCGCGGCCATCCCTTTCCCCACTCTAACTCTCCCTAAGCTCTAGCTCTCTGAGTTTGCATGCGGTAGTATGGAATACATCCGGTTCTTCCAGCTATTATTCTATCGTGTGCTTGGCAGCTAACCATGATGGTGTGGCTATCTAGGAGGGACGAGCTAACAGTCATCTCCCTACTTAGGTCCCCGCTCGGTAGGCGCGTTACAAAGCGAAGCCAATTGTCGAGCGAGGCCTAACGAGCATAAAGTTTGGGATTCAGCTCTAATTTACACACTTTCCCCAGTCCTGCTAGGAATATTAGACATAAATCACAGTAACAAGTACGGAACAATGAAACTACAATCAGAAGCAAACCATTCCCTTGTCAAAAGGTGGTCGGTTTGCGGTGAAAGTTCGGCCAACAGATTTGGACTCCAACAACCAGGCAACACAAAGAGCGACCAGCAGCTCTCAAAAGCCACATGACACTCAGCCACTTCAACCGTTTCACAGTAAACTATACCTGATTTTGTTCCGGCCACGCCAATGTCAAATTTATTCCACTACATCTTTATTTATTGTCCAAAACATAGGTTACCAGAGCCATACAATTGAAAATCAGACCAAAGGATTAGCAGCGAGTGGGCATATACACAAATGGCAACGGGTAGGAGGGAGAGCAATGGTTTGAGATAACAAGATTCCACGCATGAAATACACATAAATTCGACCTTTACACGTTGTTCGATGACGTAGGAGGGGTGGAAGTGATCTGCTTGGTGGCGTGGCTCGATGAGGCGCCGGTGGTGGCACCCTTGGCACCGGATCGCTTGTCCCGCTTCTTTAAGCCATCGATGTTCGCCTTGATGACGTTTGCGTAGGCCTGGTTAAATCGATTTATGTCCTTCTGGTGAACCTGGAAAAAAAGGGGCAAATGGAGTAAGGGGGCTGCTTTACTAATGGCTGCCTTCTGCACTGTATAGCAGTAAGATAAAACTTCAAAACCATGAAACACAGCTACTTTACTGAGTCTGCATTTGTATAAGTGCTCCAGTTTTGGGTCTCGTAAAATCGACTTTCATGCTAGTCCAGACAATAGATTTCCCGCGCGCGGTATCACCCTCTCAAGGTGAAGAGATATGTTTTCGGCACCACTGAACGCAGAAATCATGCCCGGAAAAGAGGCAAGCGCCCACCTGCTTGACTAGGGGCATCTTGGTCCAAATTAGCGTCCCTATCCTGAAAGGTGATCCCTTCATTTTCATTAATAACGGGCCTACACCATTCAAATAAGTTGCGAGATATCAGTACTACAAGTCATTATGTGGGTTTAAAGTACCAGACGTTTGTGCTCAGTTCTCAAGGCATACACCAACCAAAAACGCACGATAAACTGTTAAGCACTAAGTGGTTATCAAGGCGGTTAGGTTAACAACATAACGCCCTACACACGCATATTCGCAGGCGAAGCTTGTTGACAAACACGGCATATACCTTGCAGAGTACAACAACGCTACAACAGTCAGGCTGTGGTCGCTTGTTTCTTGAATACAGCAAATAATTGCGTCTTGAGGGTTGATAAAAAGTGCACAGCCAATGCTACGAGATCTGACGTTCGAACAAAGAGGATGACTGACGGCTTCGTCGCAAGTGGAAGGTACCCAAATTGGGTGAAAAAATATATTGGGACCCTATTGTTGGGGATCCACGATTCCCCAAGATTGGTTTCTGATTTTATTTACATTAATTTACTAACATTTGTTTTGTTACGCTTCTTATCAAGTCAAGGTCAACCCTGACTTGAATTAGTTTCGTTTTCACTTTCGATTTCACGACTTCTCTGCACGTGGCTGACGTGAATAAAGCTCTCTACTCGAGCTCTGGTCTTGTTCTGGTATTAGCCTGGGCAGGACGGTTCTAGCTTTAGCTAGGGATCTGGTACAGCTATTTGAGTGGTCTTCTCTTTTCTTACGGGCAAACGTAACACCTATCTTAAGTGAAGGACCTTGTTTGGAATAGTCAGCGATTGGCTGCTCTCATAATTGTACGAAGAAGCAAATAAATGCCACCTATCACACGTGGAAACATCAGAAATACGCACTGAACAGGCCTGATGTAAGATCTAACATCGTGAAGGTCGCTGTCGCCAAGTTAAGTGGTAACCTAAAATCATCATCAGACAGTTTAGGTAGTGCATTTTAGATGGACTCGAGCTATGCGGGGAGATGTATCTTAGGTCACAATAAAATAGATTGGTGCTGCACTTAAATTCCCCGTTTCAGGCAATAGTGATTCATGAAGTCCAGAATGGTTGCTACAAGGAATTCACCAAGGAAGCATGCACAACTGTAGTCGAAAACTGTTTCATAACCAGTACAATCGACTTTCAAAATAGCTGGTAACCAAGATACCTCCACCAATCAGCAGCTCGCAGAGCAGTTTGTGATCAAATATCGCGTGGATTTGAATAGGCATTTACGCAAACAATCTACTGAATGTTGCATTTTTTCTAAGACTCTCATCACAAAACCGCAGAAGATTCTGATTTTTTATCCCTTGCTCTCCAAATGATCGGAAAAATTTTCAGATTTTGCTTCAGCTCCGTTGCAAAACTGTTGTAGGTAAATATTTAGCGTAGTGATACACGAAGCTCAAATAACCAAAACATAAAAATGAGGTGTGCTGCTGTTATCACCAAACACCCATCTCATAATCAAGCTTCTGTTGACAATTAGTTCCTCAGGTTTAAATCATATAGACACACTGCTCCAAGTCAAATTCAACCACAACGAATTATCCAACGCAGAAATTCAGATTGGCAGTGCATGAACCAAAAATGCTTAAGCTTCGCTAACAAGAGTTGAGGGAGCAGATTAAAGCAGGCAAAAAAAGACCACAAGGTGTAGGGGGGACGTGTTGCAGAATGATTTACCTCTGCTGAGTTAGTTCGCGAACAAATATATCAAATAAACGGTTATTTACATGCTATTTTATGTACCTGGTGAAGACACTGCAGCTGTGAGGTTCCACTCTAACAATGGTGCAAAATGACGACTTGATTTAACTGATTTTGCCCTGCAATTCAAACTTGCCAGCTTGTCACTTCGAAAAATGGGTTTACAGATCGCGTTGTTAAATACGAGTCCACTAAGCAGCACTATAAGTTGCCTGAGCGTCATTGCGTGATGTAAACATAATTGTGCTAAAATCAATGCACAAGACCAACAAACTACTATGAATTCCATCAGAAGTTAGTCACAATCGAAAACAGTAAGCCCTTGACAGAAAAAGGGAGAAAATCAAGGAGACTGGGTAAAAAGAAATTACACACGTTACTATTAAAATGTATTTGAAAGATGTGTGAAATAACGCACAAAACTCACCACTGTGGCGATCTTTTTATTTCCCAAGGCGACTCGCATGAGACAGCTATTCTCAGTAGTAGCTTGAGATTCCGGTTGTTTGCTGTTCTTCCTTGGTGTGGGTTTCGTCTTCCCGTCATCTAGGGTTGCAAAAATTGTGTCAATGGCTCGTTTCCGTGGCGATAATTGAGCGCTAGTGAACACTAATACCGCATGTATAGAAGTAGCAAAAAGCGGAACGTGATGCAAGAAAAAAATCCTTATGCTAGTGGTGAAAAACACGTAGAAAAAGTTGCATAGATCTCCGAAATATGAGGTACAGTAAAAACGCAAAATGAGGAATAATAATAAAATGCGTAGTGAGGCATGCTTTTCAGTTGAGTTATACACTGACCATGGATAGTACAGTATATTAGAACAGGCCGAAGAACTCAAATGTAGGTTGGAGAAATGTGTAGGTTGGAAACCAACTGCGCAACCAAAACCAAACACACACAAGGTTTCCAATAAAAGTGAAAAATATAACAATCATTATCAGTACATTTATAAACAGTTGCAGAGTAGTGTAAGTGAGGCCTACGAGGACGCAAAGATTTAAATCAAGATCAGGATAACTTGACTTCAGATTACTCAAAAACCGAGTAGATATGACGCTGAGAATAGCAGGCAGGGCAGAAACGCTTAGCACGATACACCTGTGACGATCTAACACAACTCCCTATGACGAAGGTAGGAAAAATTAATACACGTTGGATTATTTAGGCGAATTCCTCTTATTATTCAAAGTTTATATAGGGTGCTTTAAGATATTAATACTGTGTTACCTGGGATTAAGTGGTGTTGAATTCAAGGACCACAAACGCCCAAGTCAAACGAAATCAAAAGGTAACGGCAGGGTAGCTTGGATCACTTAGGTGACACTGCTACCTTCGCGTCTAGGAAGCGGTACTGAGAAGATTAGACAAAGCTGAGTAAAATACACTATTTTAAGAACGACTAGGCCAGAAATACTTTCTTTGGGACTATTAACAAAACCAAAAGATTGGGCATTTTACGATAATGTGTGCCATGAATTATGTAGTCTATATTATTTGCAAAAAAACGAGGAAGCAATTCTTGAAATAACCAACCCACTCTGAGGTAATTTAAGACAAATCAAGATTCCAAAAATTGCCCTTACATCGCTTCATTGTGATTCTCAAAGACTTCCCAGACTTCGACTCAACAAACATTTTTGTGAGGGCCGTAAGGAACTAAAACGATTAGGAAGAGTTAAATAACCTACAGCATCATTATCGAGCAACATTCCCGAGAAAACTGGGCGTGGGGTGGTGAAACGTCACTTCCACTACGATTGGCTAAGCTATTCGCCCAATGATATACAAGCTCCTAATTAGAGACAAAAATGTATATAATTTTTAATACAAAGCTTCTATTGGTCTTAAATCCAATTTATACTGTGCAGATATTAGCGTCCAAATAATAATTATGCACGAACGGAAAAGTGATGGAAGGTGATTTAAAACCACAATAAAAAATAAAGTATTATTAAAGATGAGAAATATCGTGTTGTTTCCCTATAAAACAAAAGAAGGGCATTCATCATTGATATCTTACCAATCAATTTCCTTTGATAAAAGTAGGACGTTGCTTAAAAAAATATGCTGTTTACCTATCTCTTAGTAACAATATTGATTACTCATCAAATTTATTTGAAGTCTTTGTTTGCAATACACTAATATACCCATGAAATTTAAAATTCAAAACACTTCATGTTAAATTCATTAGGTGCTAACTTAGAGTTAACAGGAACTAGCTGTGGTTTTTAAATCCACACTACATCATTTTATAAGGATATAAGTAAATTATTTACGAAGCTAGTGATAGAAAAGCATGAAACATGACGATATTAAGGTGCATGGGTTTTTTTAATAAAAGAAGTGAAAGGTTTAAAAGCTTTCCAGCCAATTAGCTTAATGTTCTGAAGATTCTGTGATTAAGTTCAAATTTGTTTTAAATTCACTGAACGAAATTTAAGACAAAGTAGTAAAGTCTTCTTTACCCAGAAAAGTATTTTGCAGTATTATAATGAAAAGCCTTAATACAATGTTAAGGGCCGCAAATTTTAGAACAGGTTGTTCTTCATTAACATCAATGTTTGAATAGGCTAAGTCCAAGACTTGAAATCCCCGCCTTTGTGTTTGGGCTTGATATAACGTTATTGTGTTCCATGTTTGGGCTTAAGCGATTTTCATCGTTTGTGCTTTCAAGTAACTTATTCTTTTGTATTAAAGTCTTATTCCGCAGACATTATTAAGCCGACGACACGTATTAATACTTTACGTGTCCCAGCTCGTAGCTTTGCAGCTGTAGACAATAATGGTATATTATTCGTTAATACTTAGATCTCCCTCTAGAAACGGACGTTCGGGTAGAAAAATTGTCTAAATTTGGTGCCTATGTTGCTGAATGTCTACCAAAGTTCGTGCAAAAAGTTGAGGTTAGCCATGTGAAAGAGTTAGACATATTTATCCACCCCGATGGCATCATCCCCGTGATATCGTTCCTACGGAACAACGAAAACGCACAGTTTGCATCTTTGATCGACATAACGGCGATGGATGTTCCGTCACGGCCTTATCGCTTTGAAGTCGTCTATAATCTTTTATCACTACGCTATAACTCCAGAGCGCGTGTGCGTACCTATACCGACGAGCTTACACCCATTAGCTCAATTTGTGACTTGTACCAAGCAGCCAACTGGTATGAGAGGGAGGTTTGGGATATGTATGGCGTCTTCTTCTCCGACCATCCGGATTTGCGTCGCATCCTCACGGATTACGGTTTTCAAGGCCATCCTCAGAGGAAGGACTTCCCTCTCACCGGCTATACCGAGGCAAGGATAATTTTAATTTAAGCCGTAGTGTTTCTCTTTAAAGGAGATCAATGTGTGTTTGGTCCCCAGTGCCGTTTTACTTTTAAGTTGTCTATTTCTCAGTGTTTCAGTCTGTATTAAGTACAATGGGGATATTCAAAGGCGTAACTTTTGATATGCAAAAGTTTTTCATATTTTCCAAAGGCACCTCCTGTACAGATGGCTTTTCCTATCACTTCGGTAAACCAATTTTATTGCTTCTGTGCGAAACATGTTGTTCTATCCAATTTTGATAATTGTCCCGTCTGGAAGTATGACTCCCAATTATCTTGAGACGTAGCTGTCTGTTGGAACAAAATGTGCAAAATATTTCAACTAGCATCTGGTTTACTAGCTCATATACTTGGTTTTAGTGGTTCGTTATTTGAAGTCATGCGTTGTTATGGTGGAAAATGGCAGCCTACCCCAAACATCTTCAACAGTTTTTAAAGTGATATGATGTGCCTGGCATTTCGTGTAAAATTCCACCACACAAGAGTGGTCTTTTTGATTGAAGAGAAGATATTTTGATTTAAGCAGCACAGACTTTAGGGTGACAGTAGCTGTTTTTTTCGCGTCCAAGTTGCTAAATAGATTCTATTTCTCATATCCGGTGACACTGATATGAAACATTGGATTTCTTTTTTAATCCGTAGAAACGTGCACTGCGTTTTGTTAAACGCCAACCCTAGGTCTAAAATGAAGATCAATATACAACTCGGCCTTTACCTCTATCCGTAAAGTTAATTTGTTTTAGGCACCGTTGAACTGCGAATCACGATTTGTTAATATTTTTTGCAATTTCTTGGATGGTTGGCATACGACCAGAATGCCTAATTCAACGTCTCTTATTGTTTATTCTGTCGCAAGGTTTTAAACCATTATTTTTAATTTATTTACGCCAACACTAGCAGTTTCTAGTGCTAAGCTTTTCACTATTATATGACATTCCTCTGCCATAATCAATGCAGTCTCAAATGTCAAATATGCATGCCGCCCATACCAAATTTCGAAGTCCCATGACACCACGCCAGAAAATGGTGATGATTTGACCAAACTACAGGTTGTCTGACCGTTCAGTAGCCAAAATTTTAGCACAGTGACGATCGCATCAATCATTGAATCGGTTTACAAGCCCCTGTAGTTTATGATCCCCATGTATTTCTTACAAATTGGCGTCAGCTATTACAAGGAATATTTGTACCCCAAGCTCCTCAGAGGTCGCTTAAATATTTCTTTGTTGCTAGTTATTACCGAAATCGCCTAACCAGTTTCACAAACCTGTCTTTCCCGCCCTTACAACACAACCTCTAACCTTCACGCTCCGTTTTTTTCCAGATGCGCTACGATGAAGAATTAAAGCGAATTGTCATCGAACCTGTAGAATTGGCCCAAGAGTATCGAAAATTCGACTTCAAAACTCCTTGGGAAAATTTCCCTAAATTCCGAGACGTAGAGAAAAATACGGCCAGAATCGCTGACGCAAAGGAGGGTCAAAAGGCCAAAGGAATCTCTGATAAATGAGTTTCTAAAAAACACCGATCACAACCCTCTCGAATCCGTCTTGTAGTCTACCCTGCCTCCCCCACTCAATAAGGCACTCCTAATCACCCTTCTTACCTTCAATAAACCGTTGTTAGTCTGAGTTGCGTCTGCTTTTGGCCGGTATGGCACTTGCGTTCTTGTTTGCGTGGGATTCGTTGGGTTTATGTGGAGTTAGAGTCTAGGCACGGGTATAGTCAGTCATCTTTGACCACTAAAAGCAGTTGGAAATGGCGTGGAAGCGCTCAACAAGGAGGCAGCGTCATGCTCGTTGGTGCAAGCGCCTGCCCAGAGCTAGTAGGCAATACTGAACCAAGCAGGTCTGGACAATGCAGTGCGCCTTTCCTGGCTACGAACCCACAAACGGTCGTGGACAAAGACAGTGGCCGTGCCCAAGAGGTAAAAGAATTCCCACTTCTCGTAAAATAGTCGCTTACATTGCACCCTTCCGCGCGTGAATAACGTTTTTGACAGCATATTCAGTCAAGCCGAAACCAGAATCCACGAGAAGACAACGAGAAAACAACGCTCTGTACACACGTCCAATGTGGTCACATTCACTTTCGTATTATACGCCGAATTGTTTCCACACGAGACCAATAGTTCCTCTTTAAATAGATATCGGAACTATTCGTAAACAATGCATATTCAGAAATACAGTAAAGTGTCGGAGAACCGGCGGTCCACAAAGCCTTGGTGCTTACATAGACACCAAGAACTTGTGCAATTAGAGTAAAAGGATGTCTGTGTACCTCTTGAGGTGTTGTTTTAAGCACCAGCGACCTCGACAAGGAAAACTGAACGCAACCGAAAGTTACATATTCAGGGCGCAATAAAAAGAGACAGTAAATCCTAGCATTAAGCGAGACTTAGTTTATCAGGTGGCATGTAGCCAGAATTGCCAAGCCACCGGAGGGACACAGTGCCTGACGGCCGAATGGTGAGCCAGGTGAGACTTCCGTGGTCCAGTGATATGCGGATCCACGCCTCTGGAGGCAGTTGGAGTGCCCGACACACGAAATAGCGAATCACGTTTGCGTGGCAAACCAAGATCTCATAGGAGTCCTCGGTTTGGGAGGGATCCGCACGGTGAATATAATGCATAAACGCTGACTCAATTCGGGGTCCGTCTTTCTTGAACGCCTCGTCTCCATCTGGTGGCCAATTAGCAACACTCGGTTCGGGTGGAAAAGGAGCGCCCTCACGAATAAAGTCGCAAGGCGTGGCAGGAACTCCTGGCAGGTACTTGATAATCTCGTTAGTCGACTCAACAGCACGAGTCATTGTTGAGTAGAAGATTCGAGTGTAGGGGAAGTTTAGTTGTTTGAGGCGCTGGCCTGTCAGATCAGTTTGTTGTCGTCCGAGTTCAGTGAGGTGACAGTCGGAGTCGTCTTCGCAGTAGTGATATTGCCCGTGGCGAACGAGAATAATGTGACGATTGGCTTTGGACTTTACACTAGAATCGCCATTGCCACTGACGTGGTTCCCCCTGTTATCCCAGTTGGAGTTCCAGGGGGTGATTGGCGACTTGAAAGCCTCCTTTAAAGTCGGCGAATCCGCGAGAACACGGCGGAGGAAGGACGTGGAGTCGGCCCTGGCATGGCAACCAGCGACAGTCGCCGTTAAAACTGCTCCACCAAAAATAAATCTTGCCGCCTGCGTGAACAACCGTTTGGACATCTACAAAACCTGCGTAAGGAGGTCCTATGATAGTCAATGCAAAGTAGTAGTCACAAATTCTTTTAGACAATGTTATACAGACGCATGGGATCCCACTCTAGGCGAATGAATTGAAGCTATGCTAGAGTTTGTAGATGAAAACCTAGTCCATGAAGTGCAATTTGGTTGATTTGCAGGAAGGACGACTGGAAATTAAAATAAGTTTGTTAGTAGTGACATGGCAACGAAATATTGGCCACAAGCATTCAGGGATTACTGGTATTAAAAGCGTTATCATAATATTAAAAAAACCGCTTAACATCAGATCACATAGTGTTATGCAAAATCAGCGTATGGTATAATAAATTTCAACTAACATGAATGTTTGAAAGGCAGGATTTCCGGAAGGACCGACAAAGTAGTGGCAAGATAATTATAAGAAAAATTATCATATTAAAGTAATCGAGATAGTGTATGTAAAAGTACCAGCCAAACATTCCATACTTCTTTAAGTATACGAAAGCATTGGATGCAATATATTAATAACAAACTTACCAAAATACGAGTGTGTGCACGCGTCTTACCTCCGAGCCGACAGGCTAATCTCAGGTGTCAAGCCGATAAAGAGCGCCGCCATCTTGGGTTACTCACACTTACGATAGTTTCCGAGGTATATCAGCAACCAACCAGAGACAAGGATAGATGATTTTCAAAATATCTTCTGCGGCTCTGCAACTTTGGGAGATTCAGATGGGTGACGTCTAGCAAACGGTTATGGCTTGTATTGTACCAATCAAGAATGTTCTGTTGCACCTTTTTACACTAGGATTTGCCAATTCAACTTAATCACCCCCATTGACAGTTACCATGTTGTGGAAAACATATTCACATTACAAACACATGGGCTATGGAATCTAAATGTAAGTATGAAATCAAAGATATTTTACATGGAGTGGACATATCTGAGAAGACAGGCTTCATTTAGGTACCACAAGTAAGAGTCGGTTTACAGCCACCATCCATCCGTGTCCTACATTCAGAAACCGCAATCCGTAACACACATGCATTGCTGCATCATTAACACTGGTTGGCTGAGATCCTAGCGTTGTCCATTTAGAATAAGGCTTATATCGTTACTAAACTCTATAGCTTTATGGTAAAGAGCTGGCCTCAGTTTCTGGCCTGGTTCATGTGAAAAAGCTACAGTTTCACAGTCCATATATTAAAAACAGAGCAGGTGAAGGGTCGCTGACATGCTGATGTCACACCAGATTATGTTGCTTTAAAACCGAGAAATGTGTGCTGATCCAGCAGTTTAGAACATCGGATAAAGAGCTTAGACAGAATGAGGCTGGTCTTTGGTGGCTCTGACAAGATCAGTGAAAAAAATGCAATAAGCATTAAAAGCCTCTAATTTGAGGATATAAAGAAGAATAAAGAAATAATTGGGGTCTGATATATGTCAATAAGACGAGATTGCTGCCATCAACGTGGTCTACAGAGACCTAGTATGAAGAAATCGAAGGGAAAGACACGTTTTATTGACATCATACAGTTCTTAATAATTCCGCAACCAGTCAAAAGCTACTTATTACGCAAAAAGCATTCACACAAAGAAGGATTTAAGCCAAACACATTGATATTTATCCCTTCCAAGCAGCAGGCAAAGAATAAGATTCGTATTTTTCGTATTTTTTTTAAAGTGATTTTGGTTTTCTGGGGCAAAAATGCTCCTTGTTGTTTATCCCCGGGCCTATTCCGAATAACCACCGGTATCGCATGTAATAAAAATAAGAACTAATGTCTAACCACCGCTGCGTTACATAGCACTTTTTGTGAAGTGGAGTTTAAATGGAATTGAAAGCAGAAAATAGATTAGCGATACTAACTCAATAAATACTACACTGCCCTCGAATTGAGGCTTAGGGATATAAATGCGGGCATACACAAAAGATTTAAGTCTAGAAAGTATTTCTTTCCCGTAAATTCGAAATATCTGACAAGTATTTATCTTCAAACTTGCAAAGTTGCTTCAGCTGTAACTTCAATGATCAAGCTAACTCAGGCTGCCTTTGTTTTCGCAGTTACCGCTTTAGCAACTGACTTCGGTTTCCAGCAACCAAAATAGCTGACCAAGCTTCAAACCTATATTTACTGACCGCCGCTATTATATACAACCTAAGGTATGAAAATACCCACATTAACATCATTTCTAGAATTTATGTACTAAAAGTTGTGCTCTGCGCCATTTTTTGCACAGCAAATTCACCAATTTAAGTCAGTATTCTACCGTGTTGAAGCACAACCATTAACTCGATCGCCACATTCTCCATGACCACATGCCAGCACCTTTAACAAATCCGTCAAATAATCCATAGGTTTTATTTTAGAAAGATTATAACCTGTTCTGTATCAGTGCATTTAGTTTATATGAATCATCGTTTTGTAGCACTAACGGCATGTAATTCAAGATCCTTGAGATTTCCATAATTGTTGCATAAAAATATCAATATTTGAGCATTTTTCAACATCGTGAGGACGATGCTCTCAATTTCGAGGATTATTTTCTTTCTCATGCCATGGTGCTGATTCAATCTATTCGATTTAAAAAGCCAAAAGATAGTCTCTAAATATCTAAACTTTGTTGACATTGTCATGATTCCAGGCTTTAAATGGCCACTTTTTGTCCCTTGCGCCTTCCATAAAATCACTGTTGTTCTCACTTTTAGACCCGCTAGACAACGGGCTCAAATGAGATTGTGTCAAGAGAATTCCTAATTTCCGTATGTACTGTACGGAATCTGTGCCAAGTAAATTAGCATTTTCATTGTTTTAAGCAACTATACTCCCGCCTGTCAAGAAATTATTTACAGTAATGGGCTCTTAGTCCAGTAAAGGGTCATTAACCTCTGCTGTTCAATCATTAAACTAGGTGTCACTGTCGATACTTCGACCCAAAACCAACTCACAATGCGTATGCACAAAAATCAGCCCTCATAATGCCATACAATTTGTGAATTTGTTTAAATGGGGAAGAGTTTGGCAAGCGTAACAAAAATAATCTGCTCGGGCGCTTTATCTTAAACAGCAAAAATCAATGTTGCAGCCTTCCACCTGCGCGTAGTACTTCGTCAAGCGCTGTTAGTTTGGGTTATCCTGGTGATTTATGATTATTTCCGAGCAACTTTAATACCATTATGGTGTTAGAATACTTAGTCTCTAGTTTTATTCAACATAAGCGTCTTGGTTTTATGCACAATATTCCTAATTTAAATAACTCTTATGGTCACAATTAAAGCGTTCCTAATTAAATTATTCCTATTTCGGTGAATCTTTTATAGATTTCTATGATGCTTTTAAATCGTAGACACTAGGTTTAGTATCTTGTAAGTTTGTTACATGACTAAGTACGGCGTTCGGGAAACATATCACTAATAATAAAGCCTGTAGAAAAACCTTCATTAGTTCTCGTGGATCCTATTTTCAAAATGAGTTGGAAATCAGAACCGCTTCTTTATGCACTTAATTTGGACCTTTTGGCACCGAATCGACGAAGTCCTACTACTCTGGATTTAAATATTTGTGGATCGCAAATAAACCATCAGAAATGAAAGCGGGTGCGCTCTATGAAGTGCTGTAAAGCGTCACTTCATGAAACTTCTCAGAGGTAACCTGCCTTACATTAGTAAAACTCAATCTCTTTATTTTTATTTCAAATGCAGTGACTGTCAACTACGAAAGTTGGGTGGTAATTCTGCAAAGAGAAACAATACAAGCCCTAGGGAACAAATTTAGATAAATTGGGGTTGTTTCTCTATTTTGAGAAATTAAAAGGTGAAGGCGCTGCAAATGACTTCGATGCGTTACTAAATACATGAAGCCAATGACCATGATATTCAGCAACCTTTACAGGCCCGGAACTAAGAAGGGTGGAAAACTCCATAAGTTTGAGTATTTCGTTCAGCCACTTGGTCCACTTGCCAAGATTCTCACCTGAAAGCTTTTTGTTCCTTAAAAACGTAATCTAAAATAGACTCTGCAAGACTGTTTTGTAGGCACTGTCACACAAGGTAAGTAACAGACCGAGTTAAAATAGACGAGACACAGAACAATAAGATTCCACTTACATATCTTTACCGATATTTAATGCTAGTTAAGGCATTTTGTTCTTGCGGTCAAAGATTCAGGTGCGAAATCTGCTGATTTGGCGTTATTACCCTTCTAATTTCTTAAAATGAAGCTGCCCTTAACCAGAATTACAAACATTTCCATTAATTGCATTATTCCACTTTCTACTAAATCGGCAGTCATCTTCGTTAAAGCACTCCTCTTCTCATGTGCTCTAAACCTATTTATTTGTGTCATCAGCTAGTGTGCGATGGAACGCAAATATACCACAACTTGGAGGGAATTGGAAGTTTTTAAATAAATGGACAATCATGTTGATTTCCTTCGAAATTTTCTATAGGCTGGAATCTAATTAGCACCTATGCAAGTGAGTTAATTATGTCAGGTTTTAAAAGAAAAAGTCCTCGTTCGATCAGCATCCACAGGATTCAAGGGCTATCAGTGCCTTGTTTGGCCTTGAGGGGTGGAGAAAAAAAAACAAGATTTTAAGTCTTTGTCAGACCAATAAATACGTTGCCTGAGGTGGTTAAAGTGATAGATGACACAGGACTTGTCACTTGGTGGATTTTTAGATTGAATTATCCAAGGTGCAGGAAACATTTATCGTCCATCTTAGGGACCAAATGACGTAAACAAAATCTCTTAGATATTCTAATCATTTACCAAAAGATCATTTTCCAGACTGGTTATTTGTCTAGGAAATCCCCCATGAAAATGCCACTCTAATTTTCTTTATCAGCTTACCAATTTCAGTGAGGTGTAGTCTTTGCTTATTCCTCGGTTCACCAGACAAGGGCCTAGTCAGCATCTATCCCTAATTGGTTCAATTAGCATTTAGCTCATCATCAATCTGTTTTGGGGATCTCATACATTTCTGGGACATCAAAACCTACCAGGTGACCCAAATTGCAAGTTTTATCGAGACCAAAATCTAATCTTGCTTAAATGATTTTCATTTTACCAGCCTTTGGCTGTAACTCGGGCTTCTTGCTATGAGTCGCTATTGTAATATCTTTAACTCATTTTAGTTAAAAATCCGACACAAAAAATTTATGAAAAAGTACCGAGTCCAAAGCATTGTCCAGCAAACCCAGATTACTTGCTGATCAATTAAAATAATTGACCTTTGCTGCGGTTGCGGAAATGTCTCTCCGAGGTGCTAACTCATCCATACTGTTTTTAATATACGTGAATATCCACAAGTTCTTATTTTACCACCCATGTTTCCACTGACTATGTGAAATGATCTTTAGTGAAGACGTGTACAACCACCGATAGCGTAGGTTTGGATGTCACGCTGCCCTTAAGGCAGCTACGGTAATTATTTCACATTAAAAATAATTATATCCCTTTATTTGTGACAAAATAACGGAATACTTCACGGTTGCCTGATTAATTACCACCGCCAAAGATCGATATTTAACGTAATATCAGACCGTGATTTTGATTGAATTTGCAGTGTTTAGTTAGGGTGCCTTAAACTGTGGCCTTGAAACTGAGTATTACTAACAATTCTCTCATCCGCTGCTAAAAAATCGATAACAAGCAATATTAATAGTCATAGAAATTTGTCCTAGTGTGGCTCTGACTTTACCTTTTTTTGCGTCTAGTTTGCAGCTTTTAAGGAAATAAACTGCAATATGTGTGGTAATTTCTGTACGACTGCCTCCAGAGTCTCTTAGGAATTCAAGTCAACTTAAAAGTTTATTCTTATGAGCACAATTACGTAAGCTTGGATCTGTAGGCTCTGCATAAACAATGCTTTGGTATCATTTGAACCGATTAAACAATGTATCTAAAATGACTGTTGCAGCCATATAATCTTGCCCACGCCTATTTTATAATACTGCCTTCGCAACGTCAATAACAGAGAGACTTATTGAGTGGTACAACTGCATTATGTAAAATGCTTAGTATTTTCACGCTTGACTAGGAACACAATATAGTCTAGAACGTTCAAGGAAAGCCATGTGAGGACGTTTTGTCGCCCTTAATGAACCACTTTTGTTTACGTTGGCACATCAGTGAGAGTAAACCGATGCAAGCAAATGTTTTCATTTTGATGAGACGAATATCTCTTTTAGCTTCCAGCTATGGCTTTATTATGAGGTAATTTTTACATTCGCTCTTAAACTATGACTTAAATGCAGACGATTGATAAATAAATATGCCTTAGGGAAATTGGGAAGATCCGCAGAGGATATACTAACTGGTTTTATTCAAAATATGGGGAAGTTCAAGGCAGTTTTTGTCAATTCGTAAGTTATTTTAATAGGCACAAAAATCGCCGTCAATAGCTTCAACTTAAAATATTCCCACTATCTATTTTCTAAAACATTGAGTCCTTACAATTTTTTCGTCAGAGAAACCCGCATTCCATTTACCCAGCATTTCCCAAAGTTTTAACTTACAAAAAAAGTAGAATTTGCCAAGAACGTGAGTCGGTATAATATTCGTTTTCAGTTTTCTACATCCACAAAGAGCTCCGTAACTCTTTACCATGAAGTAAGTAAGGGCGAATATCACTGTTAAACAAAATCTCATTCTGTTAATATAAAATGACTTCCATGCATTGCAGAAATTGTATGCATCAAAAGAGTCTGAAGTAAGTGTTGTTTGGGAAATTCGGCAATATATCCTCAAGATTGCGCTCCTCTCTTTCGCAAATCTGCATAGCACGCTTGGTTTGCAAGCATTAGAACTTTAACTTCACGGACTTCTTGTGGCCTCGATGATTTGACAGATTAATAAGTAAATTTGTTCTTATAAGAGCGCGTCAGTTCCCTCTTATTAAAGATTGGGTCATTTTAATATTTTTTTGACAAGGCAAGGGGCTCAGCACATTATAAATACAGTATTGGACATTTGAAAGTAGGATATGAATTCAATTGGCTACTGAAATATTTTGGCAGTAGCAAGCTTGATTTCTATTCAGTAAATGTCTTTCAAATATATCTTTCGTTATTTTTATCATTATTTAAAATGCACACATAAATTTTATTTTTCAGACGAATTAAGTCAAAAAATTTATTATTTAAAAGAGATTGAGTAATGAAATGTTATTAACAAAATCAATGCAAGCAAATCATGTTTATGGCTTATGTGGTCAAAGCGCCGGCGCGCTACCGACCTTGCGATGGGGAAGTAACTTGGGTAATGAGGGTTAACCGAACCTAAGATTGCCGACACCATTCCAGCGCTTTTAACTGGCGTTACAGAACATCCACAAGCCTACTTCGTTTGTGGATTGTATTTTTGGTGCCCAAATTGGGCTGTGGCATTGTTTCCCGTAGCATGATGTTGTGGCGCAATCAACCGGCAAGTGATCGTGTCTCCGTTAACTCTCTAAGATGTCGTTGAGGTTCTAATGCAAGTACACAAACCCATAATATGATGTTTGAGGTAGGAAGCCAGATCTCTTAATATGAAATAGAAAATTATATAAATGCATTAATCTGATTCAGGGAGACCCAGGTTCAATTATATCTTTCCGGCAAAAAGACGAGATATGTGGGAGTAGTAAAGTAATTCTTCATTTACTTGTTTATTTATTTCTATTGTTTCCTGTTCTATATCATTGGATTGATCAAAGAGCAGCTTCGAAATCTCAAGTCACAAATACATCCAGGATTATTAAACAGGTACATGTTGGAATCTATAATGTTAATTGATGCCTCCAGATTTCATAGTTCTTCAAGTCACTAGAACTACCTGCATGTGCGGGATTAGTTACATTATGCAAATCTAAGTGTTTACTTGTATTTCTACATGAGGCGACCACATCGCTACACGGGTTTAAACTTGAATATTTTGCATGACACTTTCGTTACCGCTTACATCGGTAAGTGCATCGAAATTTACGGCTGCATATGCAGATGTTTGGAAGTTAGATGAAATGTTCTCTGAAGACCAAGGAATATTAAATTGTACAACTGTATTAGATATTTGACGGTCGAAAATAAATAATAATCCATCATCCACTTCTCAGGCTGCTAGTCAAGGAGTTACTTCAATTATTTTGCAGACATAATACTTGCCGAGTACGTTTTGGTTTAAGTATTTACCACTTGAATGGGGACAATTTTTTTCAAACCTCAGAATTAGATGGGAAGCAATTCGGTGCTTAAGGCTATTTGAGTGATTTGAAAAATGTTTCAAAAGTCGATATCTGTTTAATGTCAAGTTACTGACCATAATAACGGTCCTGCTCTAGTCTGCTAAGTTTGACATTTCGCACGTCCTTATTTAGTTGGGTTGGATTGTTGGAGGTTCTCCTTTCTGCTGTCCAATCAGTGCGTTGTAGAATACCCGAGGTCTAGTATGAAAAAGGCTGGTACAACAGAGCAGGCTTTGTTGACTAATCAAAGGCCGGAACCACTCTGGCCACGCCGCTCATTATATGTCACTTTTCATACTTATCTGTCTCTGGGTAGCTGGCTATCTTCCTCTCATGGTATTGGAACGCAGAGAGACAGTGAATTGGCTGGAGTCTGCGTGTCCAATATGTCTGCGACCATATGCTTCGCTTGAGTTGTAGAATACCCGTGCCCTGGTATGAAGAAGACTGATACATCAGAACAGGCTTTATTGACCAATCACAAGCCAGAACCACACATGAGGCACCTTCCATCCGAGTCAGCCACGTTGGCAAAGCCTCACCGTACCTTCTCTGGTTGGCTGCTTATCTTTCTCGCATGCTATTGGAACAAACAGAGACATAGGATTAGCTGAAGCCAGGTGGTGCAACATGTCTGCGCCCTCACACATATTGTTTTGGATATTTTAGTTGAAATATAAAAGTTAATATCATTTTCTTTAATTTTGAACACCTTTTCTGAAAAAGCCTCATTTTTATAGAAAACGGATAGCGATTTGTGGTGTCCCGTCTAAAATGTGGTATTTATATATCATATCGTCTTTCGCGGTTCATCCCAGATTTAAATAAGATGGCTTTTGCTCTATTGTAGTATTGAATAAGCTCTGAGAAGCCCTATACACGAAGCATTAAGACTCCCTTTTATCATACCAATTTTATCTACAACGTGCGTTGCATTTGCGTTTCTTCAAGTAAACTATCATTAATGAACGTGCTGGTCTCCGTAGACTAAAACGTGGATCACAATAAAAGTATTATAGGTACTATGGCAACGAAACAAATCCCATTAGTTTGAAAGTTTTCGGATGGTCAGCTCAAATCTGGGTCTACTGTGTACTCGTTTCTCTCACTTTTTTGTAGTCTTGAAATGTTTAACCAGGTTTCTGCATGTAGCTGAAACTTTAAATGTGTTGTACATTTGCAAAATCCCTCCAGAGTCAATTGGAGTTTATCGAAGTATTTTCAGATGTAAGTTGCATTTTTATTAGTGCCGATGTTGTTGGCATGCTCCGAGCATAGGTTATCCATATCAGGTCACTCATACTCAAATGGGGATTTTAGTTTTTTACCTTTGCCACTTCCGACGCTCTGTTCGATGCTCACCTTTTTGCTGTATTTTAGGTCCCAACACTTCTCAATGCTTAATTTAAACTGGGCGCTCAGGGACATGGCGGTGGGGACGCTGCCGTTCTTCATTGTTTTCGGTGGAGCTGCGCCTTATATTCCCCAGTATCTTGAAATTAGACGATTGAAAAATTCAGACGGATTTTCGCCTTACGTTTGCCTCGCCCTCATTGTGGCCAATCTTCTTAGAATTGGGTTTTGGTAAGCAAAATGCTGCAAAATCCCTAGCGACTGCAGTTTTGTGCCTTGGAAATCGTTTTGTGTATTAGCAGAGTTTAACTTTAAGTTTGCCTTAGATTTCCTTATGCATAGCATTACTCGTGGCTTTTCAAGAGCGTTACACTTCATTAAGTTGAGTCATTGATCTGCTTTTGGCCCTAAAATTGGTTGCTTTGTTTCCAAGCGAAACGCTCCGTATTATTAGTCGTGGCGCCACTTCTTGTGGAAATGACTGACTTCCACAAAAGTTAATTGTTCTCTGAAACGTCGATGTTTGCATTATATCGGTGGTTCTTGTGAATTCTACTGGCACCCACAAAGCACTATGTGCGTGGTAACCTCACAATGTTGTCTTTCCTTCTGGCCCCAAAGGTTTGGACAGCCCTTTCCCACTCCTCTACTGTTCCAGTCCTTCCTGATGGTCACTACAATGATGTTTATGCTGCATGCTTGTGTCAAGTACAGGCAAACTCGTTTCGCAGACGAAAAGGACCACTTCATCTCAGGTACCGTTTTATTCTGCTCACGTTTCTAAGTCTGTGGGCCTAGTTGATTGCCGTTACTTATAACTGGGGGAAGTTGGTAGTGAAACAAGCAACATTGCCTTACGACTGTCAGCTTTCTTTGATTAAACCAGTAACTAAGTATGTGGTTATTGTCGTAGCTGACCTATCCACCGCCAATCACGTACAGCGGCTCAATAAGCGCCATCCAGACTGTTTAAATCACCCAAATCTACCACTGGTGCAACTTAGTGACCAAGGCGAACCAACTTGTTCTTATTTTTGCTGGAATTGTCCTTTCGTCTAGATCTCGAGTGGTCGTACTTCTGGCAGTGGTCCGACTACGCCAGCTACGTAAAATTCACGGCGCTCTTCGTCGTTCTGGTTGGTGTGCCCTGCTTCACCTTCAGTCCCTACTACTTCTTTGTACAGACCCTCGGCTTCGTAGCTCTCTTCATTGAGGCTCTGTTGGGTGTTCCTCAATTCCTACAAAACTACAAACACTCATCCACCATTGGAATGAGGTACGGGTGTTTCAAAAGCGACTCTGTGTAGTTTTGAGAATTTGATGACCTATGAGCAAGTACGACTTATCTTCATCGTAAAGCGTGGTTTGGCGAATTCCCAACCATCTTGTAATGTCATTTTGTATCACTTATTTGCCATATACTACTTGCCTTTTCATTAGTAATTATCCAAACGTCCACACAATGTTTTGTCGTATGTTTTTCAGCCTTGAGATGGTGCTGATGTGGACGGTGGGCGACCTGTTCAAGACAATTTACTTCCTCATGTCCAAGTCACCCGTCCAGTTTACGGTCTGCAGTTGCATTCAGATATCGGTGGATTTCGCCATCCTCTTGCAATTCATATACTATAGTCGAAAACAGACGAAAACAGACACGCGCCTCGTGGCCTGATTAAAAACCATTATTGTTATTATCGCTTTAATCCTTATTTTCGTCAATTCTAAAGCTGTGCTTCATTTGCCCTATTTAAATTCGACTTGAACAATCCCTTTGCGCTTCTGGAGTTGTCACCGCTGTTGAGACGCTTGGTTGCTTAAAACCGGAAGACAAATGTCCGCGCAAATACGCTTCATTCTGCGTCGCGTGACGCTCTTGTTCCAACAAACTTCTCCGCCTGCGGTATGGGGCAAGCCGCCGCGCGTGGTTATCGGTCTTAATTGAATGCGAGTGACGATAGCCTTTGTGCCCGGTGTTTTTCAGGCCTGCATTGAAGTTTGTCGCGTTCATTGTTGTCAACGTTTTGAGACCTGCTGATGTTTTTTATTCCTTTGGATGTACGAAGGCAACGTGATAAAAGGGTGGCCGATCGCATCGTCTAAATGTACGGCTTTTAACATGCGCTAGAGTTGATGAAACAGAAGAATGGAAGTTGCTCAGGGCTTTGACATGTGGTCTTAAGCTGGCCCGTTTACACCACACGGATACCCACTAAGGCAGGAGATGGCGGGGCCAGAACCGTTGCCTAGGCGATTCTACTTGGTTGTGTTGTTGTCGCGCTCGTATTCAGAGGTGCGTATAACTAGTGTGGTTGTCGGCCAGTTCAGTTTGAGTAAACTATTTGCATTACAGGTGGGTGGAACGGGGGTACGGGGGGAGGCACACGCACAAACGTGTTTGAGTGGACGGTCCCCAAGAGACTGACGATCGCGCAGTGAAAAGGGGCTATGTGTCGGGGAGTGCGATTATCGAGTTGATGGACGTCAGTCAACACGATTCACTTGAAAGTTAGAGTTGGAACTGTGATGTTGAGTTGACGGCTTTCAGCACACGAGAGGCACGTGTTGGTTCCCGTGACTCCTATTTCTAAACACCGCGATTCCAGTCGAGACTGGATCAATTTTGCGGCCGTGCGTATCGAGATTTAGCCCGCCCTAGTTAATTTTGGCTGAGCAATGCTTGTATTGTCAGTGGCGAGTGTTTCTTTTTGATAATGAGTTGATTTAATCAAGTTATCTAGACTAGTACTGTAGTCGCCAACTCAGTGTCTCAAATAAGAAATGTACCTGGAAAAATTTTAGATTTCACCCGAATATTTACTCACACGAGACAATTCTGGCAACTAAAATCATAGTATCAAGTTAAATGGTTCCTTTTAACAAAGCGCTAACATTTTGAGGTAGTTATTTTCGAGGGCATCATTTAAATTTGCTGGAATAACCTCCCAATGGTATGACACCAAAGCAGGAATACCCGCGATAAGTTTTCTTTACCAATGAGTGCGTAACGTTGATAGGTAGCTGTAATTTCGTCCCATTCTAGGCCAACTTACCTAACGGAGATATATTAGGACTGTTTTGTGGGGTTCCGAATTACCAAAGTGTTAAAAATTTTCTTAACAGGCGTAAATGCGGGTGGTTGGATTTGTTTTGCCATTGGCTGATTATGCTAGCGATTGGCTAGAGAGAGCCAATGAAAATGCCCTGATTGAACATGGATTAGTGATCCCGTACTTAGATTGGTGGGCACTTGACTACAAACTGGGTCATTGGATGGGTTTGGCGATCACGCATGGTGTTTTCCACTAACTAAATGCACGAGTTTGCATCGTTGACTTAAACTGAACTTAAATTGCTTGTAGAATAAATAAGTAGCATGTTCAAATCTCCCCGAAAAGGCTGTTAAAGAACTTTTGTGAGGAGAAAAAAATGTACTCCACGCTACTATGTACCAAAGTTGACTTTACCAATTCGCATAATCTTTTGCACAGGAAACACTGCCCTTCACGGTTGCTATAGGCACGAAGGAACTACCTGAAAAAGTCTCTCCGCATTCTCAAAGGTGGTCTAACTGATCCAGAAAGCAGTACACTCCCTAAAGACTGTCCTTAAACGACATAATTTGCAAAGGTGAAGTGTTTTCGTGCAATGATTTCCTGCTATAAAGGGTGCAAATTAGCATCTCCAAACGCAAGCAATTAAGCTGCTGATTTTATACATCTAAAAATGAGACTTGGTTAGTTTAATTTGGGCTGCTATTGAACTTTAGAACTGACTACATCTTGATGTGGTCACGTTCATTCGTCCAGATTTTAGAGTAAGGTACGTTGAACGAGTCGGTTGGGCTTAGTCCGTTGATCTTTCAAGCTTTGTTATCAAACGGTGTAAAACTTTTCTAAAACAAACGCTGATTCGACCCAGTTCGCACCTGCTAACGTATGGAGTGCTCCTAACACTAAAATATACGTGTAAATCCACCAGGGTGAGCCTGCTGTAGGCATTCAGTACTTAAGTTTCAGTGACAAAATAGACCCCAACTGGACCAGGGGGGGAGGGTAAATTGATCTGTTTTAGTGGAATGCGAGCGTGTGTGTGTAAGCGTGCGCGTGGTGTGTTTGCGAACAAGTAGCTTGGTGCAAGATGAGTGCTGCGTCCTCAAACCATGGCGACTCGTTGGCTCAGCAACGCTGATGACCTCACTGACTCTTGACGGACTTGGTGATGGAGCGTCGTCGGTTGTTGCCACCGGCGGAGTTGGTCTTGGCCTCGCGGAGGGTTTTGAGGAATCGACGACGGTAGAGCTCGCGCAGTGACAGTCCCGTCAGACCGTCCTCATTGCAGTCCACAGATCCGTAGAGGGGGTTATCGAAGTCACCATCGTCGCTTGGCACTTGCAGGCTCCGGGTTACGCTAGGGTGTCAAATACGAGGTCTTTTTTTTAAGTGAAACATGATGCGATTACTGATTGGTAATTAAAACTACCACTCAAGTCGCAGCATAGGTGGTGCATGCCAAGGTACTTAATGGTGCTGTTTTGTTTAAAATAAGCCTGTGGCGACCAGCACAGTTAGCATTCGTGAGCGAACGCAGTTTGCTAGCGTGAGCGAACAGAAATCAATCGATTTTTTCATGCGCGAACTCTATTGGACAGACAGCCACCGCGCGCGTGAGTGCTGCGTGTATGCTTGCCCGACTGTATCAATGACTCACCCCCTTCGTTATTGATTTTTTGTTAGCAGTCGCCTGTAACGCACGCGTATCGATACGCACACAGAAGTTTTACTCGATTTTACGCGACTCAACTTGACTGGCGTGACACGAATAAACGGTCGTGTTCTCTTTCGACTCCTTGCCTTCTCGTGTTGTGACCGGATGTTATCTATAGCGTTTCGCGGTACTGTTAATTAGGCCCCTACAAGTCCATTAACAGTGCGGTTCAAAAGTAAATTATGCAACTGTGCGCGCTATCATCCGAAAAATCGGATTAAGGACTAAATTGTTAACCGTGAAATTCTCTACAAGCAGCTGCTTTTAATTCTTTTAGCCACAATATCCCAATTTGTTAAGAATTAACCTACGTAATTTCGTATTTAGACAAGCGAATTCTCCTAATGCCACAGAAACCTATGAGGCAGTGATTTGATGGTGAAACAAATTTAAGGAAAAAGAATTTGAGTAAAAAATGACCTGTAGCTGTAGTTTGCTTTCTTCACTGCTTGTAATATCTCGCTGTCTTATGGCACAGTAATTTTTCAATTCAGTTGCCACAATTACAAGATTAACTGTAATGGTTGTGTCGCTCTTCCTCTTAAGGTTAAGCCTTCTTCTCCCAAGTCGTTTTATAACTCAAATTCCAACGAAAACGTTTCAATGAGCGAACGAGAACACCCTTCGTGGTAAAATAAATGCCTTATTATTCCCCAAAAACATAGCGCATGTGCTGATCTCTATAGGAATAGTTTAGAACGCTAAAGTTGTCTGCCGCATTACCGTTCTTGTGGTAAGTCTAGACACGCTCGCTAGTGTAGGCGATCGATTGCCACGCCAGAACAGCCATGACAATCTGAGACAATCGATAATTGATTATTTTTTTTACTGATTCTGGGCTAAATGCCGTCAAACGTACTTTAGTCTTGTGGCTAACTAAGTGGCTACGGATACTGTCACCTGACTTCCCTCTTCTTGGGAATTTTACCGGCAAATTCAAAGGGTAGTCTGCGTGGATCCGCGTCTACCGATTGGGCAGAAAATGCGAAACCATGAGAGTTATAAAAACCGAGAAGCCTTACAAGAGGTCTGCTGATTTCGCCGCCAAAGGCTGGTTTGGAACTTGCCGCAAGGCCTCGTACACTCGTGTTGAGTCGTTTTGGGAAGTTAAGTTGTCCAGTGAGCGGTTCACAATAGCGAAGTGCGTCGCTGGCCATTCACTTCCAGCTAGGAGGGAAAAAAACCTTGAAAACACCACGGTTCCTTTTCAGCAGTAATCGAGGGACGTAATAATGAAGCTCAAAACTAATTGACTGCTGCATAAGCCCACTTTGTGCATTGTTATTTGGTGAAGCCTTCCGCGTCACACGACATGTCATGGGATTTGAGGGAAAAGGCATAAAATGCGGTTGTTAATTCTTGTCTCAAAATTAGGCCAGACATTTTGCAATCGGATTTTCAGTGAGGCTTCTCCACTTGGCCTCCCAAAGGGTGACATGCCCGCAGTCCAATTAGAGCTAAAGTACATCCACCAAAGTACATCCTGAGAGGTCAAAGCGAGTACTGACCACACAATTCATCAATCCCCTCAGGTCCAAACACAGAAACCCATAAACGTACGCTGGGAATTGGCCAGAGCAGTGGGCCCAAACACACGCATAGGTATGTAGGGTTCATGGCTGGGTGGGTCTAGCAAGTCGGGGATTTGGGCTCGACCCCAGTACTGCCACTTGGGTCGCCGATTCGTGGTGCTGCAACGACCGGAAGGCTGACTCGAGCTCTGGGAACGCTTTTCGTTGACTGAAAATCCATCCGAAGTGTTGCTTTCAGTACCTTAACGCGAGGAATAAGCGTGTCCACTGACAATGCTCGCATTTGAAACAAAGAAAGCCATGACTTAGAAAAATACTTCTTTTTTGAACAGAACCTCCATTCATTCTACCTGCCAGTAAATTTATGCATGCAGTTTTTATAAAATGCTAACCCAACGTCATCCACATGATTCTGTGGCGATCAGTGAGCGAACACAGGTAGCAGGCGCGAGCGAACACAATTCAATCGATTTATCAGAATGTACCTCACGCAGCGATCGATATAAAGCGATCCTATTTAAACCGACGATTTGACAAGCTATAGCAACTACGGTCTTACTGTCACAATAGCCAGGCTGGGCTCTGCGGTATCTGCAGTCTTCTTTCTCCTAATTAACGATAGTCCGAGGGTGCAATGTCAGGAGAATACACGAGATGATACAATGTCTTCCGGTCAATATCTTTCAACAGATTCGTGATAGGTCAATCAGCGTGAAGGAGGGCATTATCGTGATGTAAGACAGCGCCCCCTTCCGTTGACCAATGAGAACCGCTTTTGATTCAAACTGCCTTCTAACGACAAAGTTGAGGTGAACAAAGGGTTAGAGGGATTATGCGGTTGTAATCTATGAGTTCCGATCACTGCAAACTCTCCAATGATTGGCATTTGGCGCTCAGCGGTTTTTTAAACTCCCCAAAAGCATTTTCTGCCCTACTTTCGACTTGGCAGGTCGGTTATAGAATTCGACATAAAATGTGCCAAAACATTAGGTGGAGTAACCCAGCATTCACTTGGGACTGCTAAATGAAATTTGAAAGCAAAAAAGGGTTTTGTTAGCTCAATTACCACCGACGAAGGATCACGTGTGGATATTTCGCCAAAGCTCGCGTTCATGGTTGTGGCTTTCATTTGAAATCAACCGTAAAATCAGGTATGTGAGACAAAAAGATAGCTCAGAACACGGTTAATATCACGAACAAGCACCTCAGTTGTACACAGTACCAATCTTTAAGGCATCACAGAGCTTGGTCAGTGCGTCTGACTTACGTAAAAGGTTGAGGCTCTTACAGGACTGCTGACAGTCGTCTTCGCCGACCTCTGTCCGCCGACTTGGCGAATTCGGTGCGCCGTGCATGCACAGCGAGTCCTTTTCCTCGCGGAAGGGACTGGCGTCGCGAGACTCGCGTTTCGACTCGAAAAAATGCCAGCCCTGGTTGTAGAGGGCCTGCGCCTGCTTGGCTGAGATCCACAGCGCGCAGCCGAGCGGGATCTCGCAGAGTCGGGGTCGGCTGACGCCAGCCACCTTCACCGTCAATGAGGAGGTCTTTCTGGTCGGTGAAATCGCTCCCCCTCAAAATCAATAACGCGTCTATCAGGTTTCGGGTTCCCAAAAGTAATCAGATCAATGCTCTGCCGACTGCAGAACCAGTTCAACACTTAGCAAGTTGTTGCTCTTCAGGTGAATCTTAGTTGTTTTAGTGATTTGGTTTCCGTACTGAGCGCAACTTCAAATTTATCAACTTCGTGAAGCGCCTGGTGTATTTACCAGTTAGTAAGTAATTTAATACATTACCGGTGTTGTACGACTTCCACACAAAGATGTAATTTAACAATGGAAAATGTAAAGCGAGGTCCCTTTGTCACATTACTGCATCAACTGTCTTCACACTACTGATAGTGTTATGCGCATATTTAATATAACCTCGAAATTTTGTTTTGTGACACAATTACAACAAACCAGACCAGGTCTGGAATGTTAGTTTAGTTAAATTTGCTTGTAGGGGCAACTCGAAACTTTTACAAGATCCACGTTAGGTGACATTTCAACACTCAAACCACGATCGTCCCTCAGATGACCTGGTGTTCCACCTGTCCAGTCACGATTTACCTGCTTGTATAACGAGACAATGGTAATCCTCTTTGGTAACGGACATCCTATGAAACACCACTTTTGATCAATCAACGGTTGAGGCTTCCCTGTCACCACTTTTTCCCTCTTATCTGGAGATACTTGACGTCGAATTAGACAGCGACAACAGTTTGGTTACACCGCTATGGGTTCAAGTCCCACATCGGTACCTGACAATTAAGGAGGAGTCTTGTAACGGAACCACGTCTTCACTATCGACCCTATGAGATTATAATATAACCTCCAATCAGCCAAATTGTGCTGTTGTTTGATCGAGATTTGTCAGCGATCAGCGAGAGAGCAATGTGAGCAAGCGTGAACGAACGTGAATTCAATCGATCATCGTGGATCCAATTTCCCTCGTGATTTTCGTCCAGGTATCGACATTACCACGCTATCGACCCTCTAAGCAATCACTGTCTCTTTCTGTGGTAATAGATCGGTTGAACTCCGAGCTACCAATGGTTTTCTTCTTTCTTAGTTACGAGTTGTCAACATTGGTCTATGTCCTCAACACACTTAGTTGTCTATTAGATTCGCAAAACAAACTATTACATGTTTGTTCCGAGTTTGTAACTTTATTATTCTGTCGATACCACCAAAACCTAAGAAAGCAGGCTAAATTTTAAGATCAACTTTGAAATATTTAAACAAGTTTATGTTCATAGTTCAAATCTGCAGATTTTGTATAAACGTCACATGCAAAAGCCTCCAGTAAGTTCTAGTAATGAGGACATGCGCCAGATTTTTCGATTTAATAAAAAACTCAATTTATCCGATGAAGAGTGACTTGAACTAACGTCCATTTAATTTTTCTCATTAAAAAACAACTTTTTTAAGAAAAAAATGGCGACGAATCACCAGCGAAATCAGACATAGGGCGGATTTTTACGGGCTTGAATTTGATCACGTTTCTTGGGAATGAAAATGCCAAAACAACGTGACCACGATTTCACGCAGTTAGAAAGGCTTTCTTTTCACATTGTTGACTCTGAATTTTGATTCGTTTCGCAAATTTCTACGTACGACTTGAGCGTGGCTCGCATCCCTTGTGGACCACCGCGAGGACGTAGGGCTGTCCGGCGTAGGGCGGATCCAGCGCTGGTTGGTCGGCCTTCGACTCATCCTTCCGGGGTTCGAGCAGGGCCGCTGGCACGAGGACGTCGTCGTTCTCGCGAATGGCGTGTCGGTAGAGGTCGGAGTAGGAGAGGATGTCATCTAGGTCGACGTCTTGAAAGCAGTATTCCAGGCCCTCCTCGTCGCCATGTCCACCGTAGGGAATGCAAAAGACCACACCGAAACGTTTGTCTTTTTTCTAAAAAGCACGCACTCCAAATTAACTGGTGAATTTTGGGTGTTGGGACTCGTGTTTATTCCCACCCCTAAATCTGGTCGCCCCAGCCTCCGACACAGGGTTCCCCTTTTCGCAGCGTGTCGCCAGCCGTGCGGATCCTCAATTCCTCCCTCATTCGCACGAATATTTATCTTGGATTATCCTCACACCTAGGTGCCGATGTTGGCGCATGTATGACTCACACACCCGAGGTATAGATACACACGCGCAAACCCCACACACGACACCAACGTGGTTGAGCTCGGAAGTAAACGGTTGTGTCCGCGTCCTCTCTCCGATCTCTTTCTTCATCGCGGGTATCAGGGAAACGTAATACGGGGCAGAGTTAACATCAGTGGCCCCGGCGTGGTTCAAGACCACATGCCGAAGCCCACAACATTGTATGTACTAACTTTCTTGTTAATAGTGTAAATTTTTTCATTGCTCAACGGGAGGAAGAATTGCATGTTAGCAACTATCCAGTGGCGGGCTTATTTGCTTCTAGGATTGTGATAGTTAGAGCATTGCCATTTACGCGAGCATTTTGACCCATTTTAATATATTCTTCACTGTTTTAACTATTGATTCCACTTAAGTAAAATTCTCAAACAGAAAAACAACTTAGTTTTAATCATTATGAGAGTTACGTGGTTAGCTAACTTTGCTCAATATGGACTAAAATTAGCACAGAAAAGCGTGCATACAAAATTCCGACAAAATTTGTGTGATACGTCAGCAAAAATGGTAGCTTTTAATGAATCAACCCAGTAAAACAAAGCGAATACCGGCTAGGATATTTTGACGCTTTAAGGAAATTTGTTTCTTAGCCATATCTGTTTAATTATAGAATTATTTTTAATTTCAGCATCAACTGAATGTTGCATAAAATTTTGTTCCTTAAAATTATACTTAAATTTAGGGGAATTTTTCGAAAGTTGATAATTGTTTCAATGATATTACCGGCTACTCGTTTTGCAGTCACTAATTCAAACATCGACCTTCATTATTTTCTGCGCTACACACCTAACTTACCAAAAAAACGTTATTTAAAAAATCTAACATCTTTATTGCTCTTTCGAATTTGCCCAAGGTTTAGTGGGTTACTGGGTGTGCGTGTAAAGTATTTACCATTTTTAAACACAGAACAGGTGGGTCTAAAATTGATCACAGAGTCGAAATGCGCCTAACTGCTCAACCAATGAAAATACAGTCATAAAAATGGATTCCTATTTTACTCTTTATATAACTCAGAAAATAGCACCACGAATTGGTTTACGCTGACGTTAAGAACTGACGAAATCCCCGTTTTTGATGTTAAACACTAATTCGATCTGTAAAAGTACGAACTTGGCTAAAATTGTTTCGTTTAGTTAATCTAAATGAAGACTTAGACAACTTCCTTTTTTACTATACCACTTTTCTCAAAGTATTTATTTTTGGCGCCAAGCGCATTCTGCAATTTAAAGTAATAGATAAAATGACAACTGGAATTATTACGCAAAAGAGCAAAGCCCTGCTTCCATCACTCTTACATTCTTCAAATTGAATTTTGAGGCAAACTATCGCCAATAAAATTTGTTCGATCATCAGTTTTTATCGATTTTTGTCATTTGATCGAACAACATAACTCCAACTCTCAATTTCCTATAACTCACATTTTGATTGGCTTAGTAATCACGATTTGATTTTGTGGGAATTTTTTAAGTTCAGTCCTCTATTAAAGGATATTTATTTCGCATTAATTTCTGTTCAAGTTAAAATTAGTCATTTGATTTTTTAAAACAACTACCGCTTGTTTTAGATTCTTATTTTATTGTTGTGTTCACAGTAATTTTGGAACATCTGGAGTAGCGTAGCAAATGTTTGTACATACCTGTGTTTTAATAACACCCAAATACAATTGGTTTCCATGGTCCCGCCTGGGAACGAGGACATGACGTCCAAGCAGAAGGCTGCCGGCAGAGTTGATAGAACTTGTAGTACTTTGAACCGATGCCGGTCTTTGACTAGAAGGTAGCAACAAGGTAGTTATTTAAAATATAGGAGAGAAACTACAAGCTGAAGTACTAGCAAAAAACTTACCTTATTTTGCCATAATACTTGTCTCTATCACGGCTACTCGATCGTGATTGGTGGGCGTATGACCTATAGCATAAGAGAATTTGCTGTTAATTTCCTAACTCTTTCTGGCTGCTATTGAGGAAAGCATGAAAGACATTTCAGTGCATTGGTACACACCATATTTACAAAAAAACACGAACACTTCAAATTAATAGCCGTAGTTCACAAACAAAAGCATATTCATTGGCTGCATGCTGTTAAACGCGTAATAAAAGTAAAGTAAAAAGTAAAGCAAAGTCAAGTAAAAATTTAAGCAAACCTAGACTAAACCGCAACGGTTAGTTGTTGTCACAGTTAAACCAGTGAAATGTAAGCATCACAAATAAGGTTTTTGTGTTTTTCTGTCAAAGCCAGCACATTTTACGTCGGTTTAGTTCCCTTTTTAATAATGAAAGACGCATTTAAAGGGGTTAAGTTTATGGAGCGTAATTTAAAAAGGAGTGTTGTTTAAACTCGTGAAACTGTGGTAAGGGACAATCAAAGATTCACTCACGTTTTGCCCGGGCTATCGCCACTGCGACAGCGAGAATCGCGACCTGGGGAACTGAAAGGGAGTATACAGCGTCAGTAGTGTGATATAAGAGCATCGATATCGATTCCTAACCAAATTTAAAACTTAATTCGGGGCTCTGTGTTAGAGTTGCCTCAGGCCAGATTCGGACCGTGTCTGTCATCGAGAGTGACTCGTGGCACCTCTGTACATCGATCACAAATGTTTCAACGTCATCTGGTTGTCTAAGGTGTTAAATGAATACCATTTTCAATTCTACGACTGGCAATTATTTCAATGTCAGTGAGGAGCGTCGTTAAACGAAACCACCAAACCACATAGATGGTATCCGCATGAGGGGGAGTTGAGGATTGATTAAGCGGAGCGCCTTCCAGTATTTGACAAGGTCTGACTTGTTCCTTGGTGGTCATTCACGCGTCCAATTCTGAATGTGATACAATGCCGAAAGATGCACGAAAAACTTAAGAAAAAATACAAATAACCCACCCCAAAACTTACTCTTTGTGTTGAAAGTCCTTTGCTTTGTCCCTGCTATTCGAGCGCTGGCTATGCGTTTTGGAGCTAAAAGGTAATCGCGTGAATTCACAGTAGTCACCGCACAAAGCAACAAACATAACCTAATTCTGTGTTGGTGTGGAGATACAGCTTGGGGTAAATTGGTAATTCAGGTAACTGGTCATTACTCTTTTGTGTCGATGAAGACGTCTAATCTCAAATTAAGCGCCTGTGTTATGTCATGGTAGATCCACAAGGTAGCAACAAAGAATGCTGTAGCATTTATCGCGTCGTCTCTTTGTTTTAATGATTTGCTACCTCCGCCGGCGGCATTTTGAATTTGTGTACCTAAAGTGCTGTAATTTTTTTTGCGCTAATCTTCGACTAAAGTTGATCGTTTAATGTAACAAGTATTATAGATTTCATCGGATTAGAATTTTGTTTGGAAGCAATCGATCTCGTTTTGTTCGTCTGATCAAGGATCAGTAAAAAACAGCTTTGGTTGTGTACACAAACAGGCCTGCACTCCTAGTTGGTGACTAATCCAACAATCCTACAATGTGTGATCCAGGCAGACACGTAACACAAGTTCGCCCTGGATTAACCACCTACCCCGCCCTGTCGCGCCGACGACTGGTGTGTTTGGATGAGGATCTTTGCCTTGGTGCAGGACGTGGGGCCGGGTGCTTGGGTTGGACATGCAGGGCGCTGGGATCTCGGGTGCCTGAAGCGAGGATGGCCTGGTCGTCAAGCCACTTCTGCATGGCTTCACCGGTTACTTCCCAATTATCTTCAAGTAACAAACCAATCACATTTAACGCGAAGTCAGAAAGCTCATTGGCTGAAAACTTGGGTTTTACTTGGCCATTTTAGAACCACTTTACGGAACGAAGTTAAACCCACTAACCAAAAATCACTTTGAGGCGCTCATTCAGTTCACAAAATACGAAAGTCCCTATCGAAAAGAAAGCATTTTGATTTGTTGATTACGCCAGACAATGCCCATGAGTTTTAGTTTGATGTCCAAGGTTTAATTGCGCTTTTCTTGTGAATCTGTTCGCACACCCCACACATTCAAAACAAACTTGATGTTTAGTTACATTTTGCATTTAGTGTTTCGTATCTTCTTTAAGGTATGAATTTAACTTGAATATTTAAAACATGAAAAGCCCAAATCTTCACAATTCCTTGATTGCACTTAAGTTAAACTTATAAGTCGAATGCCTGGAGCAAAAGTTGTGTCTATTTTTGCCCCAATTTTCTGGATGCCATTCACTTATAATAGTTTCGGGTGTTTCATTACCTAATTTATAATAATCAGTAGCATAGCATGTTTTTTTTAAAACATCTTACAAAAAATGTTTTATGAGGCATTTTAGTAAAAATTACACCATGCCAGTTTGAGAATACTTTGTGGCAGTAGTGTGTTAAACCAGAAGATATGCCACAAATGGCTTTTAATCCACAAAACGATGAATTCAGGCTGGTGGACAGGCCAACGTGATCGTGGAATTTAAGATATTCCCGACTTGGCACCCAGGGAACATGCAGAATTAAAATCGGGGTACAAATTAGAAAATTAATTTGTACGTTTGTGATTCGAGAAATTCGTTCACTAAATAATAAAACAAATTTCAAAAATTTCGTTAATATTACACTCAGCAGTGCATAATCTGCGAGGGAAAGCATTTGAGAATGAAACTAGTTAAATAGTGAAATAGAACACAGCACGAAATTTTATTTTATACGCACAAACGAAATCACAATTAACGTGTAACTTTTATTTTTTTTTTTCAAAAAAAATTTGTTCGTCGAATCAACAAACACTTAAATGAAGAATAATAACCTAAAATTATTTCTGAAGTGAATTTTAATAAACAGAACCAGAATTTAATTGGCTGGCGAATCAAAGCTGAACAATAATTATGCAGGGGTACTAGGATGGGCGAACCTTAACTTGTTTCAAATAAATGCAGACGTTTTTTTTTTACTTAGCTATCCAAAAAACCGAATTTGTAGTTTTCAGCACAAGTAAAGCAAACACGAACATTATCAACCTGTTAATTTGTCAATTAATGTGTGAAAAATATACTGCAACAAGTGAATTCTGTGTTTTCAACTGCCGAGTGAATTCTTATTAAAAATGTAAACCTTTTTTTTAAATTTTACTAAAAAAAATAAAAATGCGCTACCAAAACGCTGGACGTTGCTCGACAGGTTGGTGTATGGAGAAATGCACGCAGGCCGCGCTGTGTAGACAAGCTCTACTTTACCACTGTATTAGAGATTGAAATGACTGCGAGCCCAATCTGAGCCACGATTGGTTGCTGAAGGGCTGCATCTGATGTCATTGGTTAAAATTTTGCCTCCGATAACAAGAGAAGTTGGTTGCCATGGCAACATAAGCAAGGAGTTTACAACCAAAAAACTCGTCATTTACGCAAATTGTTGGTCAAGTGTAGCTAGTTGTAAATTTACGATAAAATGAAGGATATTTTGAACCAATGCATGCGCCTTTTTTTTAAATTCATTTTTTTTTTAAAGATTTATTCTATTTACACCAAAACTTGGATGATTAAACCAAATGGTTTGAAGAATGCGGTTGATCAGTAGAAAAACGTGTCAATAAAGGGGTTCTGTTGTGTCCTCTGTAAGCAACCCAATTGTAAATTATCCATTTATACTGAACCTAATGGAAAGGTGTGGGTGTTAATTAGTGTTAGTTTCACCAGTAAGTCAATTTACAGAACCAACCTCTGATGAATAAAATGGTCACATTTCGATACTACGTTAATAATTTACATGGCTTGTTGGGCATTCTCGTTTGATAAACCGGTATTTCGTCAAAAAGCAGCAACAACCTAGCATGCTGGGGAAAACAAACATAAAAACTGAAAAAAATTGTTTAAATTATAACGAATTAGAGTGTACATCTAGAACTAAGGAGTTAATTTATTTAAAAAAATTATGCCCAAGTCGTGGGGGTTAGACAGATCTGTGGTGCAAAAACCGCGAAATTTAAATGCAAAAAATGGAAATGTGGAATCTGTAAAAGATGGAATGTGTGACACGGTTACTAGCTAGAAAAGCAACTTGGCATTAAAACCAAACACAGAGGAAGGAATCGACCATTTAATTGACATTTTCTAGATTTCGTATTGCCTGGAAAAAGGGTTGTGGAGATATGAGAAACCTACAGTTATCATCCATTATGCAGAACAAAATTTTGCGCAGCGAAAATTCGCCCTTGAAAATGGTCGAGAAGTACTTGAAAGCATTTGTGTTATGGCAAACCGCTTGCTTTATTAACTTTTAACAATGCTGTTTAGGTAAATCATCTTTTACAATTTATAAACAATAAAAACAAAAGTTATCCTTTTAACACCAACAAAGCATTTTTGTATTCGCCAGTTAACAAAGCGAAAACTTCCAACTTCGATTTCGTTTGACCTTTAAATTGTAAAGAAAATTTAGCTGAAGTGTGAAGTGCAATTCATAAAAATTTAACATTTCTGGAATGAATTCAGCTGGCGCAGGCAAAGTATACTATTAATTACCAACCTTTAATTGAGAAAACGATCCTATGACAAATATTTAAATAGATGCTCTGTTCTGCGTTATAGTCCTTTAAATAAACACCGAAAAGGTTTTCGGGAAGCCAATCATACCGGTTTGTTTAAATCTACTCTTTTCGTTTAAGTAAACGGAGTGAATGAATGGTTTCATGCAAAGAATAGTTCCATACTTTGACATATTTTTTTTCTGATTTTGCCAAATTATGCGTTTAATTTGTTTGTGCCCAAAAGTTGTTTATCTACTGTCTCGATATGTCACTTTTTGAACTGTTTACGAATGACAAACTAAAAGGTGCTTGTCTTAGATACCTTTCACTGTTACATAACCACACAGGCTTATTCTTCCGTTCATCACTAGAGCATAATGCGTAGCAACGAGGGTTTATGGCTTAAGCCTGGCAACCTATACACGCCCTATCAACATTTCACCGAGACAAAAGGCGGCAGAACAATTTGTCACGGCTCCTTATTGAAACGGATGTTCCTTTGTACAGCAACGATAAAATGCCTATTGTTCTGCACGAATTTTTGTAACTTCTCCTTAACAACTAAAGTGGAAAATTTTTTTAAAAGTAAGTGACTACAATTTTGTCCATGTTTTGTTGTGGCTGTAGTTTAACAGACACATGCCTTCATTTAGTGCCTTTCTTTTTTAGCAAAACAAGGAGGAATTGCATTGAACAACAATAATGCGAAAAATATTCCAGACTATTTTGTTCCCACGCAAATTATACAATCGTTACTTTGTCAATGGGCTCGTTGTCGGTTAAAGTAATACCGATATAATTTGTGCCTTTTAGAAAAATAAGATAAAGCATCACTTCAAAATTATTAAAACAAGTAGAACAAATAAATAAACTGCTTTGTTAATAATTAGCCTACAATATCCAAGAAGCTTTAATTAACAAAATTAATTCAATGTGGCTATTGTTAAATCAAGGTAAACCGGTGTACAAACCTTTTGACACGGTATCCGTTGTGCTGAGGCTGAATGTAGCTAGTCCCAGATTTTCGGCCTGTCTTTTTGTTGTGACGAGAGTGATTGCGCCCCACGGATCGCCACCTCCGTAAACTAAATCTTTGAACATGTGTAACCGTTTTTCATTTGGCGGTATCTGTTCACTGACCAAAAAGACAAGTAAATTATGGCTTGAGCTAATCTTGCGTATTTCAGGCAGAAGAATCTTCTCATCCTTAACCAAAGTAAAAGCAAAAAAACACATACGTCATCGGAAAAACCGTCGGTAACGAAATAAATGCAGCAAAAGTCTGTGTTTGCAACTGCTGCCATGAGTCCTGGTAAAACATAACTAAGTGCACCAGGTACTGATTTGCGAAACCAACAATCCAGTTCATTTATAATTTTCTCCGAGACACTTTGCATGTCTGTCGCAAATTTAACAGTCTATGATTACTAATGCTTTATAACTAACTCACTTTTTCACCGTAAAGAACAACGTTGAACTTGCAGTGATTAAAATTTTCCTGCATTTGATAAAGATGAGCAATAATATGCTGATAAATAATAGGCTTGACATCTTTAAGTCGTTCTGACGCATCAATGCAAAAGACAACTCTTGAGTGTTTCGGTCGACCGAAAACCGTTTGGAGGCGAAGGTAGTGTTCTTTGTTTATGCATTTCATTGTAACTGATTCAAGACACAATTAAGCATGTAGACACTAAAATATAGTTTCAAAAAGAAATGGTAATCTCCAAACCGGAAAATTAGCGAACAAAAACATTGGCATTTAAGGTATTTGATTTGTAAATATACAAGTACAAAACCATGTAGTAAACGTATAGAATTTAATACAGGTAAACGTTAGGCAAACATAATAAAAGGGTTAAAGACCCGCCTTACGACACCAAAATCACAAATTATACAAAAATTATTGAACCCCTAACCTTAACCCAAACTAATATGCTTTCAAATGATTGACCTACATTAAACCTACAATATTTTAATGCCCTAACAGAACAAATATTCACGCAAAATATTTCATAACGATAGCCTGAAGTCATGATAATTTACAGTAGTATGTTAGGTTTATACATGCAGAAGATTAATTTAAGAACTGCTTAAAATATCAGAAATGGAAAACAAATTAACAGATACAACATGGGTTTATGTAATTAATTTACTGTTTGTGTTTTCCAAAAGATTGCAGATTTAAAAATAAGGCTCAAACCTAGAATAATTATCGTTTTTAAAAAACCAACAGCCACAACATGGCCTTGGAAATGACCCAATAGCTAGCCAAGTATTCGTTTAAAGTTTACTTGATGCCGAAAACACCATAAAACACAAGTTGATTTCATTCTGTACAAATCAACAATATAAGTACAGTTTCACAAGCAATAATAAATCTCAAGAATTTGTTCAGTAGCTACAACTTGCAAGAATTCACACAAACTTATGTTTTTGTAATCCATAAGAACATAGCTACCCTTAAAGGAATCTACCTTAAAAGGAAAACAGATAGCAAACAACGTGTGAAACAGACTCGTGATAAGTATTTTGATAGATCTTTATACTTTGACCCCCTATGTTGCTCTGACGATATAAACGGGCGTTCTAGATTTAGCCCATGTTGCTTCTATTCATTTCTTTTCACAAGCCTTTAGCTTGCAGGTGTGCAATGCAAAACAGGTAAACGGTTAAATACAATCAAAAAAATTAAATAAGTATTGCAGAGCAAACAGCATTAATAGTTCCTGTTGAAGCTTTATTAAATGCCTGTGCTTTGAATTATTTTTACTATTCTCTTTACCATCCTCTCCTGAATGTTGATTTATTTAACTTAATTTATTAAAATTGAAAAAAAACTTTTAATTCATGGGACATTAGACTAAAATTATCATGGGCAAATAATTTCGATCTTCTTTACTTACTATATCTTGCATTTTTTGCAAAAAAACCACTAAAACTTTCGAAATTCAGACTGGTAATTTTTTTATATTACGGATGAAATGATAACTGTTGAACATAACACGCGGTTACTGCAAAACGCAATCCGACGAAAACTTTTCCAATAAAATGATCTAAAGTATATTTAAAAGTTTTCTAAGGAAAACCTAAGCTCAAACATGCCCTACCAACCATCCGAAGCCGAAAGAAAGGTAAATTTAAAATCTATTTAGTCCAGTTAATACCTACATTTTCAATCCATGGGTTTAAGTTTTTACACAATTTAATATTCAAAACATCATTTGCATCATTCAAGCATTTTTACTAAAGACATAGTGGCTAAAGTGATTCCATTGACGTTGTATTTGTAAGCGTAAGTAAAGTTTTTAAGCTGAATTAGTTGTATACTGCATAACGAATTTCCCGATGTGTTTAAATCTACCGATTTTATCCTTTGGGTCATTGTAAGGTCGTGCTGTTTCTTCCATTGAGGTTGTGTTGATTTATTTGCTTTTAAACTGCTTGGGTTAAATTCCACATGAAACGAAGTGTACACCCACTGTTTTTTCCCGCAAACTAATATTCTGACCTTACGTCACTATTGATTTTTTTCGGGATCAAATTGCCGGTGAACCCTATATTTTGTCGTAGTCTTTTTATTCCGCTGCGGCTACTATAAGATTAATCCAATCATCTGTGCCTTTCTTACCTTTCGGGTGTCGATACTGTTGTAGTTGCAGTTAAATGGTCTTCATTGCGTTCTTGGGATTCCACTCAATCTATTAATCTGTTTAATTATTATCAATGTTTTCTTGCAGTTCTCTTTACATGTGTGGCGTTGATTTGCGATAGGTCCTTAATGGCTTGCGACCACTAGGTCTGCTGGTGATTAAGATGCTTCTCCCTTCCGTTCCTCTTACTCTAAATCTATAGGTGTTATGCAGTAATAATCTTTCATTCGTCAGAGCCAACTGAACTGTTATTTTTTTAACTACGTAATGTCGCAATCCTTTAATTTATCAAATATATACTGCGGTAAAATACGGATTTCACCAGTGAAGCAGCTCACAAATCCGTATTCTCTGTGTTATGGAGAACATCTGTGATTCCCTCATTAAAAAATTCAACGCTTTCCTTTCGACTGATTTGTTCGAATTTTGTTTGATTCGCACCATAGATTACATATATTCGGGCAGGAGTTATACTTTCACGATCTTGACTAAGTCAATTACAATCGGTCACATGCTTGCAAAAGACCTACTTTAAGCAATTTATTTGCGTTACTCGATAGTGCTTTAAATTATCTAGATTCAAAAATGTTGTTTGCATGTTGTGTCATCTACCGTATCACATCTTTTAGAATTACAAATAAATTAACTATGAATGACTTTAGTGTCCCATGTACGCTTTTCGACTCATTGGATGTACCACGCAAAAGGCATTTCCCTAGGTTTATTTTACTAGGTGAATATTGCGGAATTTGTGTGTGAATGCTTGCTCATGCTTTCCACTTGGTCGTATTTTGAACCAACTAATGCTTTAATCTTAACATTAATTAATAAATGTTTAACATACTTGTCAGTCTGCGTTTTGTGTGCTTTCGGTGGTTAAAGTATGGTTCTTTTTCTGCGTATCTGAGTTAGGTAATGCTATGGCTTTTCTGTTTCTTGCAGCAATGTCCAGTGTGGCCCTAACATCCATATCCATTATTATTGGTGCGTTTTTCGTTTTGTTCGGAATTCTGAAAGTTGCTCCTTTATTCTCTGCAGATCTCTATCATGACATGGTAAGCGACATATTCTTATTACTATTCTATTTTATAACTGGTGAATTTTTTGATAGTATACTTTTTTTCACAGACGCAAGTAATGGCTCTTAGAATATACATAACACTTTTTAGATGGTAAAACCATGTCTTCTTTTTCTTTTGCGCCAATTTTTTGGTGGCATGTTTGGTCAAGTCTTCGATAGTACACATATTCAATTTGCTGCTATTCTTAATTTCGTCTCATTATTATTATTATTATCAAAATTTCTACATCAAAAAATATGGGAGTGTTTTTTATCATCTGTGTATAATCCACGCCACACGTGCGAGGTAATCGCACCTAAATCCTAGCTTACTTTGTCATGTACAGTCCTTTGCTTGGGTTTTGGCAAACCCCAACGAATACATTCAGGCTGTTAATCAGAGCAATTTTAAATCCGCGTATTTAGATAGACAAAAAGCCTCATTTATGAAACTTTCACAATTATTTTGTTGAATACCCCTTTCATGCCCACAGATGTTCACCAATTAACCGTCAGTGGGCCCAGAAATGTCTTTTCACCCACAGTTTTTCTGCCGTTAACTCAACCTAGCGTGGAATATTTGCACGCAGTGCCAAAATTTTCCCCCTTCAAAGCCTGACTGGCTGGCGGCCCGACCCCGACGCAATGCGACGCATCTACGGCGCCATCGAGATGGTGTCCGGGGTGGTCATGATGGTGGCGGGCGAGACCGTCGCCGACGTAGCCAACGCCACTCTAATGGGCCTCATCCTCTTCACTCTCTACGGCAACTGGGCCCTTGGTGAGGGACTGAAGGAAGCCTCGCACGGCATTGTTCTTGGCCTGGTTCTCACCTGCCGCTTCGTTATTCGACTTCAGGTAGTGTCGGCACTTATTAATCGTGATACCCAGACTAAACTTTAACATGTGTACCTTCTAGCTACAACCGTTTTCTACATTCAATTACTTGGAGTCTCGCCACGCTTCCTTATTTTAATCTTTTTTTCTTCTATCCCATTGTTTGCAGTTAACTAAAGTTCCAGCAAGGTTTGTGTCTTTATCATTGCCTGTTTTGGGCTAAGTTTTGTGAAAGCTTGTTGTACAGTTTGCAGCGAACTTCACGTAAAGTGTTTATTCTCTACTTTCGACCCATAAAAACTTCATTTTTGTTGATCTTTATTTAATTACTAATAGCATTTTAGACTGATCACCCTTACTGAATAAATCAAAGTTATATCGGTTGCCCAAGTCGAAACCGTAGGCGCTGTATGTGCTTCAGCTACTGAGCCAGTGGGAGAATCTTGTTTAGGTAACGAATTTTGAGGTGAGATTAGTCGACTTGCTGATTCTCATCCATTGGCCAGTGTTTTCGGGACTTGTGTACGTCGGCTTTGCGTCAATTCACTTTTGTACAGGCATTTACAACGGGATGCAAATCGGTCTTCATTAACTATCTTACTCGGCTGAACTTGTAGTAATTTCGGACGTCGATTCTAATAACAACTGCTGTAAGTGTGGCACGCGCAGCTGCATCTAGCTGTCATTCCTCGGCTAAAACCATTGGATGCATGTCATTAAAAATGGTACCTGCAACAACGCCGTCTAGGTTTTCGTTTTCCGCTTCAGTTCCGCAAACTGACGCTACAGAAGAAAGTACAACTGACACTTGGTTGTAACGCACCTCATGTGTTGTGCTGGCATGCGCTAAATGGCTAACTAATCTCCTCTATCCCACTGCCTTTATTTTCCAGACTCTGCAAAAAAATGACGACGATGACGCCTTGAAGCACGACGGAGTGGATGCAGCCTTCCGTATGGAGTTGCGACGCAGGATTGCCGAGCTCCACGAATCGGTCTGCAAAACTAAGGATATAATCGAGGAAAACAGCAAAGCTGACAAAACCTTAAAAACAACGAAGAGGAAGAAACAGGCGAAAGCTGAAAATCGGGTTAAGAAACAAAACCCACCCGCCCAGGTGCCTCTGTCCAAGAAAAATGACTGAATTTTTTGAACCAACTCACTTTACCTTCTTTTAAACCCTTCTTTGTGTTGTGATGGTGTGTGTCGCATTTCGATGCTTTTGTAAAAAAATATGCTAATATACATCGGTAATACGTTGTCCTAATATGCCCCTTTTCAAGCTGAGCCTATTCATTTCTAGAACAGTGCAAGCGGTATTAACGCATTAACAGTGAGAGTAGGTTTTGCTAAGTTTGCTTGGAGTTATTTAAGTCTTAATATTTGAGTTGTTTGTCAAATCTATGCTCTATGTTGGGGCACGTAGGCGTTGGAACAAGAGCCACTTTTTGGGTCCTAAAGTGGCTTTGGAAGGTGTGCGTTCATGAGGCAAAGCGAGATGGACCTGTGGTGCCAGGGTCAGTCTTTCAGACAATCGTGTTAAGTTGGGGAAACTGGTTGGCTTTGAGATGCCTTAGCGAGGTATTACGGTTTATCGGTACGCAGCAGCAAGGCCCCAAGCGCAAAATAGGCGACTCCTTGTTTAGCCGTCATAGGCTCTCTTAACGCTGATTCAAAACACGTAGGAGACTGCCTTCCTGACCACAGCAAGACATTACCTAATGCAAAGAGCTTTTGCTGTCTCAGATCAAGTCCGAGCTCGCGTTCGCATGAATGTTGAAACCCCAACACTGGATAAGACAGTTGTTTGGTCTCTGTGCGATTCCAAGGATTCAAAACGGGCGCTTAATATCGCGAACAATTATATGTACCTTGGACACACTCGCTCAACGAAACTTCACAGCGCAGTGAAGCTATTCTTTTCAAAATGGTGTATTTTAATGTATGGACAGTAGGCAAGTTCCTTATTCTTGTTCGCGAGCATAAAAATTTACGGTGTTTCTTCTCAAACAAATACGCAAATGAATATCCAATCGTACATCCTCACATAGAGGACATAACTAAAACTATGGAATAAACTTATACGTTATCGTTTTGTATCTGTACAGATTTTATTAATGTTTAAAATCATTTATGAAGTCAGCAGCCTTCATTGTGATGCTGTTTCAATACGTTACCTTTGCATCTAAGTCACTAATCTGTACGTACTGTCATCTCCATTATATTGTTTTGGACCCCACATTTATCCAGCATTATAATTTGCTAATAATTTAAATTCAAGTTTTGCGGTTCGGTAGGCAAGTGATTTCTCATTCTGGACAAGAACAAGACATTCAAGTTTGGTAGCAATTACATCTAATTGAAGTATGTCATATACGCAAATGCCGAATAGTAGTTGTCGTTGTAATATTTGTAGACACAAAATACGACTAAAGCAATTCAAGACGTAAACGAGGGGAGGTCACATTGGTATAGGGAGCGTGAGGTGTAAAAACTTGCTTAAAACTTGCTTAATTTATTAATTTAAGTATTACAGTGCAGTTTTTCTGGCAGGGGTCTGACCTTGAGTCCTGTTTCTTATTATCATGCATCAGCTTGACTCTACACCAAAACTTACGTTATTTACATCCAATCTTTGTTCTTTAGATAATAATAATTAGCCTAAATAGACTCACAAGTAGTTAGTAAGAGACAGTGGTGGATTGACTTCATTTATTTCTCCTAACAAAGGGTCTTCGCAACTAAACATGAAGGAAGCCAAAGTGCTTGTTCATTCGGATTTCAGACCACTGAAGATCCTTATATACATCGTCTAACTTATTTATGATCTGGATTACTCTTTATGTTTAGAGATTACTTTCTTAAGTGACTGCAAAATGTTTAATTAAAACTGATTTACAGAACTACAGACTCATATGCATGAAGGTTTGGGAAACTAGGTGCAGCCTCTGTAGGAAATGCGCACTTTACAAAGCTGATTATACACCCACTTTGACATCTTCCTCGGTCATAGTCTGAATTTAAAAAAAAAATATTTTTAGCATTTCAAAGTGACGAAATTTATCCAAAATATATTTAAATAATCCTTTATGCGGGTTCTTAGTTACATACGATGAGGTCAATCAATTGAACACGTAACTGCAGCTTGTCATCTAATTTTTTAACTATTTCAAAAAATTAAAAGCATAGTCTGACGCCGTGAAGCACATTGTTCGCCCGGATGTTAGTCAGAATGAGTGGGCGTTCAGAATGCAAGGATTGCGATTAGAAAGCATCATCTTTCATTGGTAAATACTGCTAAAATTTCATAATTTTCCGTTGTTTTAATTTTTCAAACTTTAAACATTTACTAATCCATTTTTTAAATGACCGTGCGAAGGATTGTTTTTAGAATATTCATTGGTTCGTGATGCATAACTTGCATAGATTAATATTCAAAAAATAAGATGAAACGCAAACCCGTTGTTATTAACGTAATAAAATGATGAGAATTCTATTTTGCCATATAATAAGATTAGAGAGCAACTTACGTAAAAGTAGCAGAACTCAAGTCGATTGAAACGAATAAAAAGACTATTCGACAATAGAATTTCCATGTGCCAACTCACGTTTTGTTCGGTAATCCACCGATATTTAGTAACTATTTCACTATTTCTAAATTATTTATCAGGAATTTATTCAGCTAAATACGATGAAAAACTAAGTCAGCTAATAATTATAATCACATTATTTCGATTATTTGAGTGTCTTCATTTTTGATTGACTCTATTGAATTCCTTCATAATTTACTTTTTGACCAAATAATACAAAATTTCAATAAATATTTTTAAAAATACAAAAATGTTTGAAAACTTTGCAATGGCCCTAGACACACATTTCAGGTTTGTTTAACGAGTTTAAATTCACCTGATTGCATGCGCTATTTTCGTATCTTCTTGTTGCCTGTTTTACACCAATAGGGTACGAGTCATACTTCAAATCAGGCCATAATTAGTTCTGTTCGATTTTTTCCAGCTCAGTATATGCAGTATGCTTTTCATTTCTACAAAATGATTTCGTCTAATTTTTCTACTCCGAACTCATCAACTTCATTACAAACACCCATGCCCGCTGATATAAGCCGCGACAGTGATGCAAATATGGCCGAGCCTCCGAAAAAGAAGTTTCTGTATGACTCTAGCCCTCTTGAAACGACCTCTGTACTTGATACTGTAAACACAGAGTGCTTCGCGCCAAAAGTATCAACGGAAACATGTGCTGTCAACGCATACTTGCCCATAGCTGGAGTTGAGTTCCAGGATCCTGTAGTATTCGAACGTTTGAAAGGAACAATTAAGTTACAACTCCAGGGTTCCGTTACACAAGCTGTGAATAATCTCCTTAATAAAATGTCATCGGCTATTGAAGAAGTAAATAACCTAAAGAAATGTACCAATGACATGCAAATGAGGCTGCACCGCTTGGAGACTATCTCGCGTAAAGTGGAAACAATTATCGTCGAAAGTGTACGTTCTGCGTTATTTGAATTGAGATGTTTTGCTTTCGTGTCACCTTTTACCCTTCGACGGTACATTATTTGTAGCTTACTTTAACAGCCAATGAAAATTCAACTTACTTTCTTTGTTGACCTATTTTCATATGCTTCGTAATGTACCCAGTCTGGCTTTTAACAAATATCCTTTTTTGTTAGGCACAAATTTTCCTTTATTTAATCTGCGTTTTTTGGGTCTATTTTCGTATTTCTGCAACCTGGAAATAACATTCACTTAATTCTACGTGCAGAATTGTGAAGAATTCTCTCCTGTTATACCACTTATTTCATCATTACTTTCAGCCTTCTTTGTGATTATATCATTTAATTTTGGTGAAGAAATTCACCCACTAACTATTCAGCCGACTTGTGTCGATAAGGCATGGCGGCTTGTTCAAAAGTACACTTAGCTGTACCGATAATAAACATCGAAATACACTCATGTTACCCTCCGCACAAATCTTGGTTCTTATCAGTAACTCATTTACCTCAGTTATATGTCACGTTCATAATTCGAAACCTACTTTATGTGTTGGCGACGATAAGGGTTACTTACTTTGATGTTTCAACATTCGTCAATTCAGCCGGTTTGACAATCTTGTGTTCAAGTGACAGTGGTTCTACTTTTTGTATGCAAGTTTGTAATCCCCAAACAAATTGTATTTATCAACTTTGTTCGATGCTCTAAAATTTTAGTCGTTACATACAATTGTGTTCAAGTTTTATACTTCCTTTTGTATTAATTTACTTTTATACTCATAGATGCCACCCACGCATAAAACCACTGCCTCAACAGCAAGTCAGTCGTCGTCACAAACCACTGTTGTCGTACCTGCTCGTCCTAATCAGGTGAAGGAATATTACCAGCCGACGAGTCAGTCAGCTCACTCCACCTCCATAGGTAAGTCTGTTCTGTTCATGTAGTTTCTAGGTGGTAAATCCTTAAGTCTCTAAATAATAACCATAGTGTTTCAACTGTCGCTTTTAGATTAATGTCATTTTGTAGCCGGAAATTGCACTGATTTTTCATTACCCCTCAGATTCCTTTATTGTTACGCCTTCTAACTAAGAAACTTAACATCTTTATGCCAAATTATCTGCTCCGTTCCGTCACAGCTTCCAATACCGTGTCACAAAATGCTTTTAATCACGGGAATCCTCGCCAGTCCACCAGTTCCACAATCACTCCCCACCCGCTGTCCCAGATATCTCGCCCTGCTGCACCCCTTCCCGTGACTGAGACCCCAGTCGCCATGGCAATGGCCTATGTCAACCACCTTGCCAACCAGCCTCTGCTTCCGAACCGAATAGCACCCCTACCACCCAGGGAACGCGGGCTTCTACCAGCTAATCCCTACGGTCAACTAGCGTATCCTGACGTCCAACCTCCACTTCGATTGTCTATATCGACTTCCTCTGAAGGTCAGCAGACAGTGAAGCTGAGAAAAAATACACCGCTTTTGGGATTTTCAATATTCGTAGGGTGTTGTCGCCTAATTTATTGCTCTTTTAATGATAGTGACCTGCTACAAAGGATCCCAACAGTATTACTTTTCCCTGCTTATTTATGATGATTTAATTCCTCGCTGCAAGCGTCATCATACATGGTTTCTGTATTCATCTTGTTTTTGAGCGTCTTATCAGTCGTAGACTCATTGTAGAATAGTAGGGAACTCCATCATTGCCATTCCAACGGCAGATTCACCGCCGTGTTCGCATGCAAACAAAAGAATAGTCGTTTGTGGTCTTTAAAGGATTGTGTTATTTTAGGTCTGTGCCTTCAGTGGGAGCTCGCGCAGGAGGCGTGTTCCTTTGAGCCAGCTTCCGTCTACCAGTTGTTCAGCTACGCCAGCTCCGACATTGACCCGCGTCTTCCGTTTACCAGTAAATTATGGCAAAAGGTTAGTGCCGGGTGCCGGTCTCCTTATTTGTCTAAACTAGCTTTTGTGTTCACTTTACTTAATCATTTCACACAACGGTTTTCTGCTTGCGTCGATGTGTGTTTGTGCGTATGTTATAAGCTTGATTAAGACGCTGTGACCAGCATACCTCAAAGAGAGCTCGCTGGACTATTGACGTAGCACTTTTTTCATGTCAGGGTTTGAAAATGAATGGGATTGTGTTACTGTAGGTGGTAATAATGAGCGTCGATATTTTTTCAACGCGAATCTGCTAATTCCATACCTGTATCCCAATAATCCCTCCCACGAGTTGACTTGGAGAAGGACGAGGTTCTTGCAACTCCCGGATGCTTAAACGTTGTTCTTTGTGCGGAAAACATAAACACGAATATACAGGTGTTCACACGGGCGGTGTGTGTGACTGTGGAAGCATTGACTCACCCGTCGACGCCACTGCTTCAACCGTTTCAGTGCTGTGTGCGAATTTCGCGGCATCGTGAAGTGAAGTTGCGGGTGTCACGAGGGGGAGGGGGGACGACGGAATTATCCTTAACCACGTGAACGAGCTGATTGGTTCCAAGTTTTATTCTGGTTGTGTACTTTAGGTCGGGGATATTGAAGCTCTGGCCCTCCCGATGGTGTGCACCCTGACTAGCGTTCTTCCCAACAACATCTACTACTTTGTAGTGCGCTCGATCGATCGGTTTCAGCGGTCCTCTGATTGGTCGAACGTAGTCAATGCCCACATCAGCTAGTCACCTTTCAAGCCCCCCTCCTTTTGCCCTTTCCGTGTATAATATTACTGTTTTTATTAATGTATTTAAAGCTTGTGTATATTTTAACAAAAAAAAGCAGATGTAACCTCCAGTCCGACTTAGGTGTAACCATCTAGGTATTTTAATGTGTTGTCTCAAAGCTGACCTTCTCCACGCGCACGAGTGTGCGATTCTCTTGTCTTCATGTTACACTTTGGAAGATCTTTCAAATTTGCCAGAAAGGCTTAAGTTGTGAAGGCAAAATTCTAATTCTGGTTGCTCGCAGCATGTCTTATCACGCCCCCAAGAGAACCCCTCGCAGAGTAAAAAAATATGAAGTTGGTTGGATGCGATTTTTTACGACAAGGTGTTTGATGTTTACGGCCACAATTTGAGGCACGATTGCCCGGATTACCTGCTTGCTTGATCTCATTTTGCCAGCGAAAAAGATATGGATGCCGGCCTCCAAAATGTGCTACAAATCAACCACCCCTCTGGAATTAAGGTCGCGGCCTGTTTTAGAATCCTTTGATCACTAATCGCTCGCGTAGAATGACGACAGTTGAGTTCAGTTGTGATGGCCGTTTAGCTTCCTTGATGCGATTGTCGTTCAGAGGGCCTGGTTTGATGGAAAATCTTAGCGAACGGTACTTTGAAGTGTCACTTAATATACCATAACCACAAGAGGGTGCAAGCGGATCGTGTTCCTGACTTACTTGCCTTAGGTTTTCAATAGGCATATCCACAGCTTTCAATAAACGGAATTCCTTCTTTTAACTCTTCCTTGGTTAAGAAAGGGATAACATGGTGACAACATTGGAAAAGTCGAGTAAAGCTTGAAATTAGGGCGTATTTCAACTCATGACACGTTTCGGCTACACGAAACGTGACCAGTCAATCCCATGCTTTGCCATGGACACTTGAGAGGTTTCTCTGATGAAGTTCTTTTGAGCTGAGACGCAGTTTCTATTGTGTAAAGGAATTTGATTCCCCTACTCCCAGCTGCATGGAATCTGTGCATATACTGTACAAGGGAGGTGGGAAGACGGGTTATTCGAACATTTGTCGCCACCTATTAGGAATCGTCTTTGGTAGGGAATCTTTGCTATGAGTGCCACCGCCTTGTGAAAATGCGAAACAATTGTGCAGCGTAAATTGACGATTTGATGGTTGAACACGGCGATTGTCTTTGTTTAATTGAATCGGCGACAGGCATCGCAGCTTGTGGCTTTGGATGTGCGGCGCTCCTGTTTAGAGTTTCACTCAAGGTTTCAAACAAATTTTGAGCTGCGAGAATGCCTACCTAGCGTGAAATTTTCCGACACAATGCTAAGTAATCAAGTATTAACATTGAATGAAAATACTTTTAATCCACCAAGATTAGCCTGGTCGTTTGAATTTACTCGTCAATATAGTCATTTTTTTAAGAAAACGAAACTAAATGCATGGATTACTACAGGGGAATCAATAAAAGTGGCGCAATGGATATAAGTTATAGACAACTTAATCACCTGAAGAGCATTATTTTAACAATTCCGCTAACATGGGTGATCTCTAGAGCTGTTTTCCTTAAGAAAGTTATCACGGATTTCTTCAATTAACGTTTAATTGAAATGTAGCCCATTGATTTCACGCAAATGATTTCAGGGAGTTTGCAAAATGTCTCTCAAATTTTATTCCATATTTTTCGCATGCGTAATCCCTGTATTTTGCAAATTTTCGTAATAGTGATATAGAAGTTTTGTTTTATTTGGTCAACGACCACTAGTATTTGATGGTAATATTTCGATCATTTTAACATCAACCAAATTAATAACAAACAAGTTGCTTCCTTTTTGCTGGTCTAGATTCCCAAATTTCACTGCCATTTCGCGGTTTCTTGAATTAGTGATTTTTATTCTCACTTATGAAATCTAAATTGCCAATGACACCGTAATAACCATGATAAAAATTCACATTTCGTCGTGAATGAATCAACAAATTTACAAAAATGCCGCAGTATGTTAAATGGCCAGTAAGCATGGACCATTTTGGGCCAACATTTTTTATCTTTTGCCTAGCTAGGGACTTTAAAAGTTGGCAGAGATTTGAGATTAGTTTGAAAATTGTGAAAGCGTTAACCATTGCTTTCCGTAATCGCATAATACCGCTGTATTCTTCATTAGATAGACTCATAGTTGCAGCCTGATTCAAATCATAGTAATCGTTCGATCCAGTTCAGTTGATTTCCCAAAAATGCCAAGTATTGATAACAAACAAGTGCAATTTAGAGAGGTTTATAAATGCTTCATTTATACCTGTATCTCCAGAGTTATTAAAGAAATACCTAGTTTAAAATCAATCTTTTTTACCAGAAACAATTTCAGGTTCCTGAAGGTATTAGGAAAAATTATCGACTCATCTGAGTAAGGTTCTAACTTAGGTTTGATTTCTAAACTGTAGCTTCACCTTCAAAGCATCGCTTTTTTTCCTGGCTGCACTAACAAAAAAGACATTTTTAGAACATTTTTAGACATTTTAAATATAATTAGTGAAATTAAAATGAAAATAACAAATGATCTCTAAAAGCTACTTAGTAAATATTTTACACATTAAAAGTTTAAAAATCTAAAATGCCTGTGACTCGGCACATCAGTGCTCTTAAATGTCACGAGCTGGTACAGGACAAAGATGTCGGTAGCATCCTCAGGATATTGTTATAACAGTGGCCAAAACCACCACGCCGTGCGCAGTTTTAATGAATGGATGCCTCAGTTTTGAGCAGCCATCTGCTGGTATCTACAGGAGGCCAAACTATGGTGCAGATTATTCGTAAACATAATGCAGCTGGAAGGAATCTTAAGATTACCTTAATTTAAGAAAGCATGGTTGCAGAAACTTCAAGTTTAGTCAGTCAACTATTGCTCGTGATAGACCATTTGTCGGGATTCAGCCTGTAGATTGAGAGCCAAATAATAGCTATGTGGCATACGTAGAGCTTGACTTTAGTTTCCTTAAAAACAGTAGTTTGCGATTTTGCAGAATAACCCAAAGTGCTTAGTGAAAAACATGGAATCATATTACTGAGAGAATGTGTTATTTTGAGTCGCTGTCGACGGGGTTGCCAAATTTTATAGGTACGTTGTTTGATGGGGTGAACCTTAAGTTTGAGCCCTTGTCGTTCAATCGATTTTTTAAGACTACTAAGACTGAAACAGACTGATGTCAATTCATAGTGGGGTCTGATTTTCGAGAATTTCAAATAGCATAGCATTTGAAGTTAATTCAATCGCAGCTTGCGTGCTTCTACTTTAGACGACATGCTAATGCGATTATAGTCCTGCAAGTGCATTTTCGAGTTTTCCTGTTCACAGAGTGGATGGCAGCAAAAATTGATAAGTAATATTTTAGCCAATCCTGACAAATTGCCAAATTCTGCCTCTTAAACGTTTCTGTTCCTGTCGCACTTTTGAATGAAAACGTTTCACGATACGTCCTTCTATTAGATAAAAGTTGTTAAGTGTTTTCCTTCGCAATAGGTTGTACAAAATTGGGGTCATTGAGCAAAATAAAATATTGGAAAAATACGTTTGTAAGTTTGTGAGACGATGCATAAATAATTTTTATCATTGACACAAAATTTATTTTAAAATGTGCGTTAATTCAGGTCATAATTCTAAAAGTTCGAGAAGAAACTGTTGTCGTCGGGGTCACCAATTGTTGTGGTCCCCAGCATGTGGTCTTGAACCATGCTGGGCCACGGAATTAACCCTGGCCCGATTACGCTTGCCTGATGCCCGCTATATAGAAAAAGATCGGAGAGGACTGGACACAACCGTTTACTTCAGAGTTCAACCACGTTGGTGTCGTTGTGTCATGTGTGGTGGTTTGCGCGTGCGTTTTATACCTCAAATGCGTGAGTCATAGATGAGCTAACATCGAAACCTAGGCGTGAAGATAATCTAAATATTCGTGTGAATGAAGGGGAAGTTAAGGATTTGCGCGGCTGGCGCCATGCTGCGAAGAAGGGGAGCCCTGTTCCGGAGGCGGAGCGATCGGATTGAGGGATGTGAATAAACACGATTCACAACAAACCATTGGATTGGATGCACGTAACAAAATGCAATTTTCTATGCCTGAGTCACAGCCTTTGTTTCTAATGTAAGCTTCTTATGACAAAATGCAGCAACCCTATTTCCAGGTACCAAATTGTAGATGCAAAAATGGTGCAATTTTACAAATTATTTGCTATTTTGGAATATAATCGTAATGACCATAAGATTAATTTAGCGTATATGGCACTTAAACGCAATGTTATTTAGGTATATGAATTGAAGTATTTCATATAACTACTATTGAGAGGAAAGGGTGTATCCATTTGATATAAATTAATAAAATATTATAAACCAAAGTTGATGAAAAGAAATACAGTTCAGCGTCACCAGAATAAAGTGGGATAAAACATTTTTGTAAAGCAGCCAATATATACATTACTTTACAATCTGCAGCAGTCCAAGAAAATATTTAATGCTTGGTTGACGTTCGAAAATATCTTTCTAGTAATGATTTTAATGCTTTCGATATGTTGATTAATTTGAAACAGACCACAATTAACTGCACTCAAATAACAACATGGAGCAAAAAAATTGCTACATGAAACAATTGAGAGGTTAGACAAAATCAAAACAAAAATGATAATTAAGCCCATGTGCACAAGTCAATTTTAACGGTCTATTAAAGTCAAAAATGAGCCACTAAATTTAACATCCTTTTAAAAGGCTGGTAGAAATTATTATGAAAGCTAACACGAGTTATCGGAGTGTTAACAAAGTACCTTTAAGATGATTCAAATTTAATTAAACTTTTCAATTTACGTAGTAAATTGCAGCCTATAATTGTTTTGTCTACAAAAACTAAGGACTGTTTTTAAAATAATTTACGCTAGCACAAATAACAGTTTTTTAATAATAGTATGAATAATATTTTCAAGCTTATGAATTATCTTTAATAAGTTTGTTTTA